TGTCATGCAAACAGTGCCAAGAGGCAAGCGGTGGACTAGGTATTTTGCATGACAAATGAGGGGGAGGGGGGTTGTGCACTGTCATAGGATGTGACGGAGAGCTGGACGCGGTCAACATCCACAACTTGGTCCTCGTTAGAAGTTGGGTCCATCAAGGGCGTGTCACGAGCAGTACCACGCGCGGTCGCCATTTTTCCTGGAAGTACTTGCCGTGGCGGTTATCAGAAGCAGCTTATACCTGTTGCAGGTGGCAGAAGCAACACGCAGGAATCTCCTGTAACAACCCGTGCAGCACGTCTCGAGCGCCGGGTGCAGGTTGCTAATGCTACTACGGACTCTCCAACTCAAAAATCTCTCCGTGTTTCCAGTCAACTCATCTTTATTGGCACAATTATCACAAGGAGTGTCGTGCTCATGTACCGCTCATCTCTACTGGTTGCAATCCAGTATATCCCTTGAGTTTGGGCCTCTCACACAATCTATTGTTCCCACTCTTGATGACATGTGCTCTACTATTATGGTGCAGGTTCAATCTTCTTCATGGTCATGTGCTAAAAAGACTCATCATCATTATACCCCTCGAACTTACTGGTCGTTCGCGTTTTTTTCGGAGACGGGCACCAACATCTGTTGTTCTTTGGAAAAGAGACCACGCTAAATCAATCGGGAAAACATAATTCTGCTCCAGATCATTCGGATTCGGAAACTTACGTTCCATTTCAAATACTTTACAATCTCGAATGGAGGCTAAGCAATGAAATAAGATGAAGCATGCATAAAAATGAAGAATGAAGGAGAGCATCAAGTGCTGAATTTTTGCATTTTTGATTCTACCGATAATGCAGAAGAGGCTAAGGCTTGGCTGAGGGGGATGAGGCGGGTTGTACAGGACATGCTTTTACATAAGTATCATCAAGCTTTGATGTTGTTTTCGACCATTGTAACTGGGGATCAAGATCAGAACGGTGAATAAATTGAATCTGGCCGGGGTGAATTCAACAAAATCTTCGTTGGAAAAATAAGGGTACAACTTCTGGGGTAAAAAGGGTAAGAACCGTGAAGCCATCATGATCACACAAGTACAACGGGCGACGAGGTAGGAGTGGGGGGCCCTTGATGGTCCTCCACCCGCCAGACGGAATTCTTTTGGGATTGCGCCGCGGAGACGACCCCGATCTTTTCATCTCGCAGCAACTTTCATTCATCTTCTTTTCCTCCTCCAGCTCATATTCGCTGGTATTCTCGTCAAGGAGCTTGCTGGGAGTTCCTTCTGGCGAACCCTGCTGCAGCAGCGGCTCCCCGAGAACAGAATTCTTTCTGGTGTAATCCTGTCCTTGCACAACACCGAGATTCCCCTCGTCCTCCCCTTCTTGCTCCAAAAACGTGGCGCAACACGCCCCTTGCGTGGTCTCGTCCGGTAGCAGGCGACTCTGTACTAGTTCCGGTAGAAGTTGTGGTAGTGACAACTCCAGCACTTATAGCGTTCAAGCGTTACATTCTGAACTGTTTACAACATAGATTTGCAATGCAAGAACAGCAATAGTCAAAGGGGCAAGCTGGCTGCTTTCGCATCACAGGTTTTGCACAGATTTACATCCTGTTTAGCCCTTCGGAGATTATTTGTCATGCGAAGCAGCTTGATCATCTGCCGCACGGCTTAAGGTAGTTCTGCATGACAAATTCATGTAACAATTGAGAATGTAACGCTTGAGAACGCCATAGCACTGCGTTCAACATTCGTGGAAGATGAACTACGACACGGTGGGCAGGATGTTTTTTGTCCCGAGGAGGACGCCCGCTTGTCCTTTCCCTCGAGGATTTTTTGCGCCGGTTTTGTTTCCAAAAAGGAAGGAGTCGTAGCTGCTGGTCGTGTGCGATCGTAGTTCTTCTTGTCGGCCGTTGTACTTGTGGTCATCTCCGTCATCATCTGTTCAAAAGATGACGAGGTAGAAGGGACATCCGCGACCGCTACATCCTCATCTATGCATTGCAAAGTTATCGCACTCGTACTAATCGCATTCATGCATTACAAATTTCTTTCTCACGTTAAATCCGCATTACAAATTTTCTTTCTCATGCTGAGGAAATTTCTTATGCGATTTCTACTAGTACGATGCTTTGCATTTCATATCCTCTTCGCAACTGCAAGACTCAAGGTCCCGGCTCGTCTCTGCGCTTTCGAATGGAACCTTGTAGGTCTCCTGCGCACTTTTCGAGCTGTCCTGGCCGGGGTCAGCAGGGTCCCCGGAAGATCCTGAACTCCCCCCCAGATTTCTTGCGTCTCTCGAGCTGCGTAGTAGCCCCGTGCGTGTTGTTCCGTTTTTTTTTCACAAATCTGCAATGAAATACGAGAAAGCTGCAATGAAATACGAGAAACGGAAATTGTTCAACAGCGACGTAGTAATCTGGTTGTATCCGGAATCGAATATACAAGTAGAGAGAGGAAATTATATATACAGAAGTAAATCAAGAAGGACAGACGAAATACTTACATCGGTCCTGGATTTTTTCACGTAATATCGCTTTCTTGTGGAGGTGCAGCTAGATCAACATGCTGGAGAGATTATTTGCACGAAATCTTGCTGAAAACTGTACTTGTACGAAGGACAACGATCAAGACGACACTTGCCATTTGGTAGGGGGACGAAGATTGGCAAACTACTACAAGGAGGACGAAATTTATGAAGAAAACGGAAACCGACTCCAACCGAGGACGACCAAATTCTAAAACGAAGACACACGCCATATTCAACGAGAAAGACAAGCAATAAGCGTCTTGGCTCTCCTCGACTTGTTTGCACCTGAGCAGCTGCCGGGCAGCTTTTTTGCGTGCCATTTCGAAAGAATTTTGATTTACGCGAAGAGATCCTGCTGTTAGCCGGGGGGCTGGTATGATTGCTCGTTCGTTCAAGGAAGCATGGTATCTTTCGGTCGTCGGGTTTCATATTCACTTAGAGTGGGGGACAAGTGGCGCCAGCCCAAAGATATTTTTACAAATATATCTTTATCATGCTTTAAAGACTTCGGGAAAACAATACGGCTCCTCAAAATGGGTTTCAGGGGTTCGAGTGAAGGCGGGACAAGGTACTGTACAGACCTTTTGATTTTGTTGGGAGGTGGAAGATAATTGTAATTCGGTTGCTAGTGCAATAAATATCTACAAAACATAGAAAGACAACGAATACAACATGCCACACAACGAAGGCGCAACACGCCCCTTGCGTGGTCTCGTCCGGTTGTTCGTTAGACGAGGGAAGCACGACCCCTGGCGGCGGCACATCGTAGGGCCTCGCAGCAATGACTTCGTGCCCTTCGGGGGCGGATTTCAGCTGTTCTTTCTCGTCATTTTTTTTTCCCATCTTTCTCATGATTTGCTTCAAACCCGCGACTTTTTCCCTGCGGGTGAGGTCGACCGGCGACGCCTTCCCACCCCGGGCATGTCCACCGAATTTCAGATCACTTCCCTGCCCCGAGCTGCCCAGCATCACCTCCGTCGGGTCTTTGTTTTGGTCAGAAGCTGCTTCATGATCTTCTACTCCCGAGGTGGGCTGCTGCTCCACCTTGTTTTCGAGCAGGTGGCTCTCCGGCTTTTTGTTGTTCTCAAGCTCTTCTTTGTCGTGTGTAGTTGTACCACTGCCCGGATGAACTACGGCTGGAACAGTCGTCAAAACAACTTCCCCACATTTGTTCCCCTCCACAATTTCAAACCCGGCGTTGCAACTCTTGCAAATTTCCGCACTATGAGTGGTACACTCCGCACCGACCGCTGCACTGCCGTTCGCGCAAGCGCACTCGTTTTTTTCACAGGTAGTTGTCATGGTGGTAGCAGCTGCATCCTCGAATCCGGCGAATAGAGGCACCTCCCGCTCTCGGCTACTGTACCCCGGCGCGTCGCAGGGGCAAATGACGCTTTCCGTCTCGCCGTCTTCGTACTTGCAATCTTGACCGCCATATGCTGCTGGTTTTCTGACGAGGAATTTTCGTGTGTGACGCGTTTCGCCGTGGCCGGTACACAAGTTTTCTTTGACTTCTTCTATCAAATGTAAAAATGTCTGGGTCTGGAAGAGTTGGAACTTGTGATGCTAACTTTGGTCTCTAAAAAAATCTGTATTGCATGACCAGCAAGAGGAGTCTAGCTTGTGCTACGCGGGGAGGGCGTTTGTCATGCGGAGTAGCCATCAGGAAGCCCTCTAAAAATTTGTGATGCCAGGTCGTGCATCACAGACATCCTGGGTCATGCAAAACATGCATGACAAGTCTCAGAATCTTCCAGACCCAGACATTTTTACATTTGATATCTTCCGCTGTTCCGTAATTCTAATTCAGCCAGGACCCGACGCAATTGACCGGCGGCTTTGCCAGCGCATCCGCTTTTACGGAAACGATGTCTATGGCGCTCTCAACTGTTACATTCTCAAGAACTGTTACATGAATTTGTCATGCAGGACTACCTTCAAGATTCACACGGGAAAGCTGCTTCGCATGACAAATTTGCGAAGGGCTACACAGCACCTAAATCTGTGCAAAACTTGTAATGCTAGAAGTGCAGCCTCTCCCTTTTCACTTTTGCAGTTCTTGCATCACAAATCCATGTAACAGTTGAGAATGTAACAGTTGAGAACGCCATAATGTCCGCGGCAACTGTGTATTCTCGCAAGGGCCTCATAGGAGTTTGGCCCTCGTTATCAAATGCAAAAATGTCTGGGTCTGGAAACTTGTAATGCTGCGTTGGAAATAGTGAATGCTCTGTAATGCACAGCCAAGCATGAGAAATATGAATGTCTGCGCTTCTTTGTGTTACGTTTTTCGCATGACAAACTGCGTTTTTGCATGACAGGCAAAAGGGTCTCTTCTTGGACACGCATCACAAACTTTTTGGTCAACATGCCAGACAAGCATGACAAGTCTCGCAATCTTCCAGACCCAGACACTTTTGCATTTGATACCCGTTCTTGCCACTCGTGGTTTCTGTGTCGGTTGCAGCAGCATCTTTGCACACACCGTTCTCCCCTTGTTCCACCACCCCGGCGCAGCACGCACTCTCGCGACACTCGCCGAGCAGTAGGGATTTGGCGACGACAGAAAAGTGCGCATCATGGCTTTGTTCGAAGTCTGCGGAATTTGTGACTGCAGCACCCTCTTCCCCACACAGCCCCGTCTCCGAATGCTGCCGCCAGCCATTTCCGGTGTTTTTAAATTGGCAGGGTCGCTTCTGGCAGGTCAGCGAAATGATGATTTTCCCCTCGTCACTCGCGGTCTGAAGCTGGGGGAGCAAGGGTAGTTCTTGAAGATGACTCAGGCCCGCCTCCGCCCAACCCGGAGGGGCCATTTGCGCGAGCCACGTGGATTCATCCGGTCCTCCCAGCGTTTCCGTTTTGGTTTTCGGGCCTCCCCAGGTGGACGACTCGCCGGACCAAAGCACTTCGGTGGTTTCCAACTCACTTCCGACTTTCTTCCGCATCACCGCATGACAGCCGGTCAACTGGCACTTCCGCATCACCTGCATCGTGGCCAATTTCGCGCATTTTTCGTGGTCGTGCTCGTGGCCGTTTGCTATCACACCACACTCCTCCCAACCGGCTGCACTCACGTCCCACTGGTCGGCTTTTACAACGGCGGAATCGTACCAACCAGTACCCCGACCGGTGTCGGGATCTAAGATACGGAGTAAGTTGTAGGGAGCGCAGTCGGGACAGTACGTGTCTTGTTGTTCGGCGGACGAGGTCGTAGCAGAAGTACTGCTCTGAACATGCTGTAGAGAGGTTCTTGCAGCAACGAACAGTAGAGGTTCTCGTCGTGGTCCGGGAGAGATAGGATCTCCGTCGAGAAGGGCGTGCAAAGCCAAGAGAACCAACTTTTGTGTAGTGGTTCTCGTGGAAAGAAGAACCGGAGAAACCGTAGGAGCTCCTGTTGCGCGATGCAGTGTCATGACTTGGCTCTTCGAACAAGGTGAAGATACTTAAGTTGATGAAATGATTGAATTCAAGTACACTAAATATGCTCTACTTGTTTCGGATCTACTGCAAGACGGCCTAATATCCGCACGGCGAATTTTATCTTTTATAGCACCAGGAACTGACAGTCTGTCAGTTCGCTTATCCTTTGCTCTGTCAGTGACAGAGTAAAAAGTCAATCGCTTAACTAGGCTCGGGTACTTACTGGAGGAATTTGCCTCTGTTATCAATGTGGAGAAGGTGTTGTTGATACACGACTGAGAGTCTGCATGCATTCCAAGTGCGTGGTGACTGCGACACGCCGAAAGTTTAGCTTTGAATTGATATCAGCACGAAGGAATAGAGCCTGGACGAGGTTTTTTGTACGACCACGAGTGCTTCGTGACAATGAAATGAAGGGACGTATCTTATTTACCTTCTACGCATAGGAATTTCTCAGCGTGAAGACCGCTGCAACGACGAAGAAGTACTGGTAAACGACCACACTCGCGACCACCCGAGGACGCGCGACATAAGAGAGTATGAAGCTTTTCCACCAGACCATTATGGGGTCTTGCGACCTACTGTTGTTTTTCTTGCGGGCGGGAAAAATGAAACACCAGCTGGTGCGACGTCCTGCACCATTTTGTGGGAACGGGAAGGGGGCAGAGTCACCTTGGACAATTATCAGTATGTAGAACAAAAGGATGATAAACGAGGTGGCAAATGGTCGAGCAGTTTTCATACTTTGGGGAAGAACGAGGTACTGTCGCTGTCCTTCATCTCCTATAAAAGTAAAACGCACCACGTTCACGAAGACAACTACTAGTTACATCACTTCATACTGCGAGTAAAAACAAGTCTTTTGAATTCGGCGAATCAGAGGTCGACCACGCGGACCGCTGCGCACCCGCTTCCTCTCCCGCCTCACGAGGTTCACTTTCCTCCAGGAGGGAGACAAGATCTTGCTTCAGGAGGTGTATTTCTCCTTCACCATTATGAGCCTCTGCTTGCAGGAGTCCTTCTTCTTCCCCTTGCAAGAACGTCGACGTGGCGCAACACGCAGTCTCCGCCTCGCTCGGATCCTCCCCGTCTTCTCGAGACGCCCCCAAGTACGGACGCACGTTGAGAATCCTAGTATCAACTTCGGAAGACGACAGTGGAGACCCTGCAGGTACTGCGCCACCGCCTCCGGCGTTACCGTTACCGTTTATTGGTGGAGCTGCATCAACATCACCTCCAGAATGTGTAGTACCCTGGTTCTTTTCGAGGTCATCTCCCGAGTTGGGCCCGCTCTGCGGCAGTGGTGCGTTCTCAGGGTCAAGTAGCGCGTCGCCTGTACGAGGCTGCTCTCCGTCTTGTCCATCTTGTGCCGGCGTACCACTGCTGCCTGTGGACGACGTGGCGCCAGTAGTGTCGTGGCTGCCATCGCCATCGTCCGAGGGCGACTTTGTCGTCGGCTCCTGTGGCAGCTTCTCGCAGGAAGTTCTTGCTTCGCCTTCTGCAACAGAAGTTGTTCTCGCTTCATAGCCGACCGCCGTGCAGGGGCACACAATGGTTCGGGTCCTCTCATCCGGCGCCACGCTGCAGGCCGCGCCGCCGAAGGCTTCCTCTACGGTGACGGTGTAGACCCGCGTGACCGTTTCGCCGCGGCCGGTGCACTGAGCGGCTTGTAGTTCACTGTCGGACGCAAAATCCCAGGTCCCCACGCAGTCTCGCGGCGGCTTGGGCAGCGCATCCGCGTTTTCGGAAACGATGTTGGGCGAGGAAAGGTAATTTCCCAGTGGCTGCTTCACAGTTTGCCCTCTATTGTACGAAGACTCATGGCACTTCGACAGGGTGCATTGGTCGCACCGGTACTGGCTTTCTTCCCAAAAAAAGTTAGCTTCCCAGTGACCTACGCCGGCACAACAGGCGTTCTTGCGACACTGCGTGTTATACGCGTTCCTTTCATCCTCACCCGTGGTGTAGATCGTTTTCGCGGTCCCGCCGTGCCCCAAAAGTCCGGTCACCGAATGAACCCCCCAACCGTAGTTCCCGCCGTCTTTTAGTTGGCACGGCCGGGCTTGGCAACGCAGCGAGAGGATCACTTGCCCGGTGTCGCTTCCGTAGTGAAACTCGGCGAGGGGACTCGAGACGCCGGCTTCTATCCAGCCCGCGGGCATCATGTCAGGCGGCCAGTTGTCCGAATCTGGGCCAGTCAAACTTTCCGTCTTGGTTTTCGGCCCACCCCAGGACTCGCCTGGCCAAACCAGTTCCGTGGTCTCCAACGTCTCACCTGATTTCACCCGCATCACGGCATGACAGCCACCCGCCGCACAATCGTCCATCAAATGCTTCGTCGCTTCTACGGCGCAGGCCTCGTGATCGAGTTGACCCGCGGCACGCGCAGCGGGGCAGTTTTCCCAGTGGGGGGTCACCCGACTCGCATGTCGCGAGTCGTACCAGCCGGTGCCTTTCCCGGTGTTTGAATCCAAAACACGGACGAAATTGTAGGGAGCGCAGTCTGGGCAAAACAACTGGGCGAATGTCGCGGTTGAAAATAATGTCGTGAAGACCAAAGAGACTCGTCCCAGAAGCAGCGAAGGTCCGAGATGCCGAAGCAAAAAGCCCGACGCGGAGACCTTCTTGGCCACACGAGGACTCGAAGTCGAACTACCAGATGTTGACACCATGAGCATGAGCATGAGGAAGGGCGCGGTAGTTGTCACAATGGCAACACCTGAGCCACCTCCTATGATGCTATGCACGACAAAAGATAACGCAAACGTAAGATGATGAAACGGGGTCGATACTAGCTATTTGGTGGGCCTGGGCGTATTTTTAACACAAAAAACGAAGACGCTCTTTATCTCTTTTTTTGGTAGATGAAAAACGGATAGGAGTTCGCTGGAGTTAAGTACTACACGCAGGCGGGGTTTTCAACCCTAACTCCTAAACTCGGAACTGATGCTGTTGCCTGCGTCACAGTTGTACGAAAGAGAAAAAATAATCGGACGACAAGAACGACGACGACGACGCACGATTTCTATCTTGGTAAACTTAGAAATCATGTGGCATACGACAAGAGTTCCAAATTTTTGAACGTAATGGTAATTGTGGGAGAGGCGATGCAGACCGTGACCGCTGCATAGTAAGTGCGACCTAGTGTCTGGCGCTGTTGTTGCTTTTCTTTTATTCGGGGGTCCCCGAATCGGGGCCGACGATAATTTGATTAAACATGATGCTTGTATCTATTCGGGGAATCATGCTTGCTTGATGTGTTTTCTCGGTGTGCTAGTGCTGGGGCGGAGTTTTTATTTTTTGGCGTGCGGGTAAGGCTGGCATCGAAAAAAGAAAAACGAATAAATATATAAAGAAAAGGTTGATTACCAACGGCGATAATGCACTCAGTAAAACAAAATGCAACGACGATAATGTACTTACTCTGTGAACTTAGCAACGACGATAAATAATGATGATTGGCAACTTAGTAAAACAAAAACTGTAACTGGTATCGGATAATGATAATTTGGAAAATCTGTGACATTGGAACGTGCTATGTGTGCAGTTTGGAGGCGGATAATTTTGTGGCATGTTAAAAACTTGAAATTGCAATTATAAAATCACGCAAACCAAAACAGTGTCCGTACGACGAAAGCTAGCAATGAAGAATTAGAATGAATTGAATCATGTTCATCTTGGGCGACAAAAATAGGTTCGTGAACTCTCTCAAACGCGCTAGAAAAGATCAGACTGCGAGTAAAAAGGATGCTTCTTGAGAGGAACGTGACGGCGAATCCGCCTCCGACGTCGACATCTTCAAGGGCAGCGCTTCATCCCCTACAGTCCCGTCCCGAAGAAGATTGTCTTCGTTCCGAACCAGCGTACTGCCACGAGGAAGAGCTCCGGCAGCTTCACCATCATCCCCAGGAGGACTCCCGTCGACCTTGACCTTTTCTGCTTGAGGAAGAAGATCTTCGTGGCCGTGCTGCGACGTGGTCTGCATGAGACCCAGAACTTCCTGCTGATTCAGGTAGTTGTCGTTGTTCGTCTGCTGGATATTATCCCCTTGGCTCATTTCCCCCTCCTGCAAAAATGCCCCGCAGCAGGAAATGTCCGCCGTCGGCTGCTTATCCTGGGCAAGAGTTTCATATCGTGAAATCGTAGTAATCGCACTGCTGCATCTTCTTCTTCAACTACTCCTGTGTCTGATTTAGCATTACAAATTTACTTATTTCCACTTTTTATTTTTTCTTTTATTGGTCCAAAAATTGATATTTGTCGTGCGATTTCTACTACTAGTACGATTTTACTCTACTTGCATACGGGTCTTCCAGGTCAAGAGCTTGTGGCGCGACTTTTTCAGCGGACGATCCCAACCCGCCCGCCCCCAGCGGTTCTGCTGCGTCTTCAGTGGAATCTTCGTTCGCGGCCCCGCCAAGCGAAGTAGTGGTCCCAGGCGTGCTGCCATTTTGATCTCCGGCTGGGGCCTGCGTAGCTGCAGCTTCACGGAGAGTTTCTGGCTTTTCGTGCTGTTGGCTTATGACGGTGCACAAGAACCCCGCCCTTGTTTCGCCTTCTTCATTTGAAAGGACACAGTACATTTACAACAACAGGAGATACGTAGACAAAGTAGTAAGTAGCTCAAGCTCATGTTGCAGCTTCAGCTTAGTAGACAAGAAATGGCAACATCGTAGCTTTCGCAGTGGAAATGGATTTTCATGTGTTTCAGCTTGGCCTCTGCGGATGCGATGCGGTATACTTTTGCTGCATGACAAACGCGGCGGAAAACAAGGGAAGAGGGTTGCGCACAACTGTCATATCGCTGTTGCCTAGCTCGGCACAAATCTTCTCCCCGGTTGTAGCCTTCAGCTCGAAGCCGCTGTCGCACTGCGCACAAATTTCCGCTCCGTCAGCGGTGCAAGCCCCATCCATTGCTGCGGTACCGTGCGCGCAAGTGCAGATGTTCTTCTTCTCGCAAGTCGTAGTGCTCTCGCCTCCTGTTTTCAGCTCGAAGCCGCTGTCGCACTGCGCACAAATTTCCGCTCCGTCAGCGGTGCAAGCCCCATCCATTGCTGCGGTACCGTGCGCGCAAGTGCAGATGTTCTTCTTCTCGCAAGTCGTAGTGCTCTCGCCTCCTGTTTTCAGCTCGAAGCCGCTGTCGCACTGCGCACAAATTTCCGCTCCGTCAGCGGTGCAAGCCCCATCCATTGCTGCGGTACCGTGCGCGCAAGTGCAGATGTTCTTCTTCTCGCAAGTCGTAGTAGTTTCGCCTCCTGCAATACCCGCAGAAGTTTTCATTTCATGGCGCAACACGCCACTTGCGTGGTCTCGTCGGGTTGCTCGTTAGACGAGGGAGCGCAATCGGGACAATATAGATTCGCTTTCGTCCCCTCGGCGGATACAGTTCGGAATAATAATGTCGCGAAAAAAAACATCTTCAATGGGCCCCCGGCTCCGCCGCCCAATAGCAGCGTTACAAGTAGTCTTCCGCGATGGCGGCCCGGTGCGGCAGAGACCTTCAACACACGGATGAAACCAGAACCAGATGAAAGAACCATGATGGAAGAAAAATCGTGCTCCCGTAGTTGATTGATGTCACAAAGGTACTAAAACCTACACCTGCTATGACGTTGCTCTTACTCGCATAAGTGCTGGAAAAAGAAAAACAAAAAGATTGAGAACGCAAAAATAAGAAACGGGACTAGCTGATGGACCTGGTGAATAACGTATTGACTTTATTTGGCACAACTAGAAAAAGAGTGACAGCTCGTGGCAGTCGTTTTTGCTGCATGAAGCCAAAAGAGTAAAGAGAAAAGTGGAATTATAACTCAGACTCAACATAGAGGGACGAAAATTCTTCATGAAGTACCACTGTTGCTTGCTTCAGACTTGTACGAAGGACGACTTCAGAGTGCACGAAGGAGAGTTAGGACGACGACGAAAACGAATGCACGAATGAGAGTTTGGTACTTCGGTAGGAATACGAAAGTGCAGTGTGTGCTACAGAACAACAAGAGTAGTAAGCACTTACATTCATCCACTTCTCACACGAAGTAGCTACTCTAGGTTTATGGCGTACAGTATTCTCACACGAAGTAGTAAAAATGCTTCGTGCTCGTTGAAACAACGGTAGTTGTTACTTGGGAAGTGAGAGCTCAAAAGGTTCTTGTCAAACTGCCAGGTAGGCGTTTGCTTTATTTGAACGTGCAGGGTAAAAACTAAAACAAGTACAACTTTATTATTGTTCCATCGTCTTACTTGATGTATTGTATCCACCGCCTCTTCTCACGTACAGTACATTTTTATTTTAAGGTTCTTCTGCTTCCCGTCACGGAAGGTTCTAAACCATCACTGTTGAAGCTGCAGCACCTGCTTCCTGACCAGCTTCGGAAGCATTGTCGTGGTTGTTTGGATCATCCACTACAGGGAGCGCCGCGGAAGTTGTTGTTCCTTTGCTGAAGTGCTGGTGCAGCTCCTGCTCTTGCTGGTCATCTTCTACGTCGAGAAACAAAGATGAATCGGTCTCGTCGGGGTCGTTCATCTTTGATGCAACACCAGCACCATCATCTCCGTCCGCTCTTCTTTCTTGGTCCACGTCGACCTCGTGAAGCTGCGTAAAGTCAACTACACTCTTCGGCAACTCCGACTGCAGCTGCTCTGGAATTTCACCGCGAGGACGTGGTGTACCATTAATCTCGGCAAAACTTCCACGACAAGGTGGGCAGGACGAATTTTTTCGCGAGGATGCCCGTTTGTTGCTCCCTTCGAGGATCTTTTCGTTTCCGGCAGGACGACCAGGGGTAGATGAGGCGTCAGCCCCATGTTCTCTTCTAGTACTAGCAGGAACTACGACATGATCAAGTTCATCTTCCATGACATGATCCTCATGATCTTGTCCACCTACACTCGTCCCGGCCGAAGACGAGGAAATTTGCGGTAGTTTTGAAGATGTTTGTGTTTCCAAAAAAGCAGGAACAGTGCCAACATCTGCCACCGCTACCTCTTCCTCCTCGCAACTGCAGGACTCGAGGTCCCGGCTCGTCTCTGCGCTTTCGAGGTCGCCGTCGCGGTACTGCGCAGGATTCGTGCTGTCCTGCTTTAGGTCGGAAGATGATCCATCTGCACTCCCCCCTTGCAAGGCATCTCCGTCGTTTTCTTCCGTCGGTTCCTCCCGGTTGTCGCTTCTTCCAGAATTTGTCGGGGGCGCCCGACGCGGCGACGAAAGCTCGACGTCGGCCTCGCGGGTAAGTGTTGAGGTTTTGGCGTATGCAGTGCAAATATCGATCCAGGTCTGGAATAAGGATGGAATCTTGTGATGGTCGTCCACCCGGCCCTTTACAACAAAATCTGTCATGCACGAATAGCAACACGCTGGTTCGTTTTCGTTGGCAACTACTACTTACCCTTACTAGAGCGGATTACATTTTCTCTTCATGCAGAGCAGTCGTTGGACACAATGCAACAAAGCTTTCACAGAAGGTGTCTGTGACGCTAAGGTCGTACTACAACCCTGCAATACATTCCAGACTTTGACGCTACGGCACTAGTACCCTAGCTACAGGTGGAGCTGCAGGCCACAGCCATACAAAAAATATCCGCATGACACTAAACTTCTGCACTTTTCCAGTGAAGAGGAAGACCCAGATCAATATATAATGTCGCGGTGGATAGTGTGGCGATCTGGGTAATCTTGTCGGAGGACACATACTCTGTTTCCGACACGCGACGTAATTGGTGTCTGTTTGAGCCTTCGGTATTCGAGCCATTGCTTTCCTCACACTCATACGCGTTTTTATACAATCGATTCCACCAGTTTGTGTCTATATTTTTCACACTACAGCAGGCGTTCGCACGGCAATCCCCGCCCCAATCAGCATGTTTCGCCAGGAACCCCTGTTTCTTTTCGCCTTCTTCCCCACACAACCCCGTCTCGGAGTACTCCCGCCACCCTTTCCCTCGGTGGCGCAGCAGGCAGGGCCGGGCCTTGCAGCGAAGCGAGAGGATGGTTTTCTTGTTGCTACTAGTTGTGCTAGAAGCACTCGTCGCTTGTTCTTTTATAGCTGGAGCGATGGTTTTGTCCCACTTGTCCTCAAGACCTGTGTTCCATCCCGGTGGGGCGAAGTCGTTCAACCAAGTCTCATCCGTGGAATAAATGGGATAGAGCCTCTCTTTCGGGCCTCCCCAGTTGGGGTCTTCAGTCTTCCACCACATGTGTTCCCTCGCATGGTAAGAAACCCCGCCTGGGTGCAACCACCGCATCACCGCGTGACACCCGCTTTTCACGCACTCGTCGCTTAACAACCGGGTGGCTTATGAACTGCAAAAGTATCGCACTCGTAGTCATTGCAAATATGCATTACTTTTCCTTTGCTTAAGGTAAATCCGCATTACAAATTTTATTTCTCATGCTGAGAAAATTTGTAATGCAATTTATACTAGTACGATGCTTTTGCATTGCATATGGCTTCCTCCGGGTCGATGTCGGGATCTCCCAAGCCGTATGGATTGCAAATATGTTTCTCTGGGTCAGGAAGGATGCAAGGTTTGTCATGCTTGTCTGGCATGACTGAAGAGTTTGTGATGCGTGTCCAAGAAGAGATGACCCTCTGACTTGTCACGGAACAAACGCAGTTTGTCATGCGGAAGGCACAACACTTCTAAGCCGCGCGAATATTTCTCATGCTTGGCTGTGCATTACAGAGAAATTACTATTCACGGCTCAGCATTACAAGGTTCCAGACCCAGACATCTTTGCATTTGATAAGCCGGGGGCATTGTCTGCGTCCAACCGTGTGTCGACCCACGCGGTGCCATTCGTCTTTTTCCCCGTACCATCGTAATCTACAATCCACACGAGGTTGTAGGGCGCGCAGGTCGGGCAGTAGGGATTCAGAGCGGAGACCGGAGTGAAGAGCAGGTGATCTTCACCGGGGGCCAACAAATGGAAGAGAATTACGACGACCCCAACACCAGCTCGAAGAACCACTTTAGAAGTAGTTGTACCGAGGCGATTTACCATGTTCTTGCAAGCTTTCATCTACTAGTATTCGACGTCTAACTACAACCACAAGAATCGGTGAATCAACGCAAAGCTGCCCAACTTTATGGATTTGCAAAAATGGGTCCGTCGGTACTTACGATCATGACGCTAAAATATCTTACTTTGTTTTTCAGGGGGGAGGGAACGAATTGAAACCTGGTATTTCGTCGGTCAACGAATAAAACTAACAGGACGTGGTCTTCACGTAGCAGCTAACCCTAAACTCACGACGGCACAGGGTAGAAGTACGTTGGGGACGAACAAAGACGAACGAGAACGTGGACGAGGACACATTCAACGAAATCGTATTAAAGGCTTGTAGAATTTCATCCTATCAATCTATCTACTTCAGTGAGTATGAAGAGCAAGCGAATTTCTCGCGAGCTGCAGGTGTGGTCGTTGCACGAGTATCATCATAGATATCGGGTGGAGAAATCGTTTTTGGTCTTCTCATCATACATCATGGGAAATTATAACCACAGCTGAACGATGAAGACGATGACGAACGAAGAACGACCATACGGTAACTCCTTCTGATGACGAACTAAGTACATCCGTAGTAATGGGTTGAAACCGAAATTCAAATTCTGCACAGACTACGCCAATCGTCCCGAATAAAGGACGAGGACCACTTACTCCGCACATTTTTGAGAATTAATGCGGTGCCAGAGAACAAGTTGTCTGCCATGGCGGCGGGCGCGCAATGTGGCAGCATAAAAAAACTTCTACTCAAACAGATTCATTGGATTTTCTTCAAACAACTTTTCCTTGAAATTTTGTGTAGAAAAAAGTTTCTCGAGTTATTTCCTCCTCCGCTTGATTTTTTCATGGAACCATTGGTCCAAAATCCTCCTGTCGACAATCTGAATTGATAGGAAAAAACTTCGTCGTACCTGATGGAAATGGTGTGAGAGTAAACTACTTTTACTTCTTGCGTCTTACAAGTTTACTCAGCGTGGCCGGCGAGGGCGACCTCGGCGCCAGTGTAGAACTAGAAATCATAACGTGTACACTTTATCAGTTTACTACTTTCTCAAATCGTCAGATGAGCTTCTGTTTTTCGAGCCAACCTGATGATGAAGAAGAAACAGCACGGAGTAGCATCAAGTTAAGCGTCGCCAACAGAAGCACTGCTTTCGGTTCTAAGTAAGTACTACTTCGGTGCTTATTGAAATTCTTGTGTGTAACAGGTGCTTAAGGTTAACTTTCAATTTCTTCAAGTGGCCTCGCCTAGGCTCTGGCTCTGCGCGAAGCTGCTGTTTGAAAAATGAAAATTGCTCCAATTGAGCCACTCGGCAAATGGGTGTTCGTTGTGTATGTTTTTCTACTTGGTGGTAATCAATAATATTGGTGTGGGCGCTGCGTTGCGTTTTCTAAAAGTGTTGATGAACAAATAGTGTGACATTTTTGAAACGGAAGCAGTACAAAACAAACTTTGGTGTGAGTGGAACTACTCTACTTTTAGCGATGAACAGCTGAAGCTGTGGTCATCTCATATACTGAGTCCCACTGGAGATAAAACATTTTCATCGGTCGCTGTTGTTCATTAGATGTTGTCAACATCTCGCGTAGAACTCAACTGATCTGAAGCGATTTGGTCGTGCTTCATACATTTTAATCGCAATATTTCGTTTCTACTCGCGAAATGGAAACTCTTAACAGTTGTGATTCTTGCTTCTCCTTCCTTGTCGTCCTACTTCGAAGATTACCAGGAGAACAAGAATTTCACATTTTCCTCCACGTCCCCGGTGTCATAAGCAACCCACACGGACACCAGCAGACACGTCAAAAACGTCGCCACGACCTGCGTCAACCACCCGGCGCGCAGATAGTCCCCAAACTCGTAGTTTCCCGGGACTTTCACCAATAATGTCGGCGGCATCCCGATTGGCGTGCAGAACGCGAAGCCGGAGGTTTGCGCCAGGAGGCAAATCATTGGTTTAAACGGGATTCCGGATCGGTAGCAGAGGTTTAAGGTGCTGTCCCACAGCATTTGCGTGCAGGTCGCGTTGTTGAGGAATTGGGTCAAAACGGACACGACAATCCCCGTGAAAAAGACGATCAGCGCTTTGTTCCCAGCCGTGACTTTATCGATCATCTGCGCGAGGAATTCACTCGTTTTGCTGTTGGCCATGATCACTTGTAGCGCGTCCGCAAAGGCGAAGAGGAGTAACACGCCGGCGTTCATGGACCCGATCGCCTGCTTCCAGGTGATGCAACGGAGGGCGACGAGGAGCTGTGGTAAAGTTTAATTTAAGGGTTTGTACTTATTTCATTTTCATGCCCTTGCCCATATAATAATCCGGAGCAAAAATAAAGTTTTGACAAAAAATCTCCGGACGAGCTTTAGAAATCGAAATGAAGTTCTTTTATTGATGCATCAATGCGGAAATAAAGATTTGTAAAATGCATGATATCACTACCACTCCCAACCCGATGATCAGTGTCGCGAACTGGTCGTCCAGCTTGAAATTTCCGATTTTCAGTTCCGGTATCGCGGTAATCCCAATGACGATCAAAAACCCGATGAACGCGACAAAACCGCGGATCGTGTCAAAAGTTGACACTGCCCTCGGTGGGCTAGAACCGATCACCGCAGACACCATTTTTACCTCGGGGAACCGGCCCCCCTTCTGCGCGAGCTGCCCGAAGACCTGGAAGCCTTCTACTAACACAAACCCGTTCACCTCGTCGACGCCGAGAATCACCGCGTCGTGTTCCAGAAAGAATTTTTTCGTGGAGAGTTTTTTCAAATATTTCTCGGATAAGACCATCTCGTACATCTGTCTCGTTTTCCTCGATCTTCCTAACAACTCGTAGTAGTCCGCGTTGGGGGTTAATCCCAGGAACTGTCTCTGCAACTTCCCGATGGTCGACGCCTGGGCGCGGATACCTAACACGCAGTTGGGCTGAAGGAAAATTTCAGACGGGTCCTTCATCAAAAGGGGGGAATTATCGTCGTTATTTCTGGCTTTCGATGATGAGGAGGATGCGGGCTTTGCTGGCGTTGAGGATGCCGCTGGTGCAACGGGCGCGGCCGTTGTTCCATCTTCTTCGTAATAAACGGACAGGGCGCCCATTTCGGGAAGCTGGGATTTTTGATTGGTGGTTGAGGATTTTTTTTTGATAAAAAATCATATTGGACTTTGCGTTGCAAGAACCGCCGCGCCACGGAGAAGCTGCAAGAAAAATGTGCCAGCACATAATCACACAGCTACGGGACGATACATATGAGAAGGACATAAGTAATTCATTATCCAGTAGACCTACACCGACCATCCGCAAATAAGGGAAATTTTTCTCAAAAAAATCTAGTATACCTCTTCCGCCCGCGTTGCGAACGCCGGCTTTTTTGTCCCGGCGGCGACGTGTAAATAAATCTCCACGTCTTTCATCCGATACAGCGCGGATTCTTCCAAAGTCGTCCCCAATAATGCCTTGCAGTCCTTCGTCACTTTAAATTCCACATCGTAAACCGCGTGTCTCGTGTCGAGCACTGGTTTCGTGGGAATCACCGATACATTCCCGTTCTGGTACTTCGAAATTGCCTCTCCGGTGGTCGTATGCAGTGCAAAAGTATCGTACTCGTAGTAATCGCGGTTATGCATTACAAATCTCCATCCCAAGGCAAAACAGCATGACAAATTCCATTTGTCATGCTGAGCTAATTTGTATTGCAATTACTACTAGTACGATACTTTTGCAGTTCATAGGTCGTCCCCCGTCGGGTCAAATGCTCCGGGACGATCTTCACGGATTTGGATCGGTTTCTCATGCTGGTGTCTGGTGCGGCTCTCTCGCCGCTTTCCAGGTCGAGTAAGGGCTGTTGCTCCTTGTTTATTGCGGTGTTATTATTTTCGCCCTCACCGAAAACTTCATCCTCCACAACTTCGTTCCCTTCCGTGAACTTAAACGCCACCGCCGTTTCTCTCGCTTTCAGATCGTCTAACCCTAGTTACTATCAAATGCAAAAATCTCTGGGTCTGGAACAAGGTTGGAACTTGTAATGCTAGCTTTCCATACCTAGAAAATCTGTATTGCATAACCAACAAAAGTCGCAGCCTCTTTTGTCAATCAAAAAGAACGCAGTTTCTCATATTAGGGATTGCCTATGAGAAAGCGTTTTGGGAAGTTGTCATGCCGGACTGCATTCGGAAGTGTTTTCATCATGCACATTTTACCATCACAAGTTTCCAGACCCAGACATTTTTGAATTTCATAGTTGCACCGATGTTCTCCTCTCCTCATCTTCCGCTCCGTAGGCGCGATCTTCCGCGATTTTGTGCTCGACAAGGTCTTTACTTGATAGAGCTGCATCATGCTCACCTTCTGATGAAGCTGCAGAACCGTCTTCCAATTCCAGTTGTCTCTGCTTTTCCTTCGCGATGTCCTCATCTTTCGCAAAGACGTGGATGCAGAACCGGACCGTCGGGATGCACGCGACGGCGACGAGCAAAGCGAGAATTAAAAACCCGCCGTCGATGGTGGAGAAGGAGCACTGCTTCGCAACTAATTCTTCGTAGTGAGCGCTCTCGCCAATGAATTCGAAACTGATAATGTACAATTGGGTTATTCTTGTTTTTTCACGCATTCTGTTTGTTATCATGCAGCATCTGGAATCAATTCCTCTTGGAGAACATGCACGACCGACTCGGGCGCTGCAATGCAGAACAACAACAACGAACACCAACACGAACCTCCGAAAATAAATGCGAGAATAAATATTCTGTGATGCAAAACCAACTTCATACCCTGAAAATAAATTCTATACCCTGGTTCCGGCACTCGTTCCCGATCGTTCCAGACATCCCGGATCTTGTAATTCACCGGATTGCCATCTGCATCGTCCAGCTTTCTCCAGTTGTGCGCTGCCATCAGTGTCTCCCGGCACTGCTGCGTTTGCAGCGTTTCCCTCCCGTCTTTTTTCAGTTTGAAAGCATTTAACGCGTAGATACACGGCGTGGAGCCGATCAACGTCAAGTTCCCGCCAAGCGTAACCATGAACGCCAATGCGAGGTAGTAGACTCTTGGGGTGTACAAGCCTGTTTTATCGGTCACCGCGACCACCAACGGCATGCACATCTGCGTGACCGGTCCATTTGGGCAGACGGAAGACAACACCATCGCCGGAACCATGAGTCTCCCGATAATCCCGAAATGGCTGGTGGGACTACCGATGATCGAACCTAAGAGCTTTTCCAAAATCTTTGTTTCTGTAAACGCCGCGGAGAGGACGAACATCCCCGCGTAAAGTAGCGTGTTTTTGGAGGACAATCCCGTGTAGATTTGCGAGACTTGTTCTAGCAATAGCAATGGTTCCACGGTTAAAGTTTGACTTGGCTTCGCGTTGCTGCAGTAATCGCTCAACGGGATTTCATAGCTGATCATGGAGAAGAAGTAGCTGAAGAGGATCACCGTGAAAATCGCGAGTTCCGGCGGAATATGCATTGCAAATATGTCTGGGTCTCCTGGAAGAGTGCCAGACTTGTCATGCAGATTCTCCATGACCCATGAGGTCTGGTATGTAGGACATAGCATGCCAGATTCTGTGAGGTCTTTCTAATGCCTATCCTGCATGAGAAACTGCCTCTCGATTAGGTCAAAAGTGGGCCACATTTGGCAATCATGCAACACAGTTTAGTGCCTGACTCAGATTTAGCATGACAAGTTGCAATCTTCCAGACCCAGACATATTTGCAGTTGATATGGAATCCCCTCCACCATGAAAACGACCATCCAGACGATCATGGTTAACACCACAAACTTATCCTGTGCAAAAGTATCGTACTCGTATTAATTGCAATCATGCATTACAAATTTTTTCCTTAAGCAGGTACCTCAGTATTACAAATTTTCCTTCTCATGCTGAGGAAATTTGTAATGCATTCATACGAGTACGATACTTTTGCAATTCATAAAACTGGCGTATGGACATGAATTTGTCGTTGATTTTCCCTTGCTCTTCGTCAACCGAAATTCCCGCCCGGTTGTTCACGTTCGGGACGCATTTGATTGTTACTTCCTGCTGGCTCGCTTCATCATATTCTGTCCACTCGAAGGTCACATCCTTATCTGGATTCGGGGACAGCCCATTGTGCGCAAACTTGACCTTCTCGATGTGTGTCCAGGACTTCTTCTTGTAGTCGGCCAAAACACGTTTGGGGAAGTAAGGGATGTGCCTGGTGGGGAGGTCGTCGAACTTGGGGAGGGCGGGGATGGCAATGACCTGTTGAAAGAAGAGGATTTTTCTTTTCATGCTAAAAAATTGACAAACAACTATAGTGAGTAGATTCTTTGCATTTACAAACCTGCCCTGTGCACATCGACATCACAGAAAAATCCGTCATCTACCATGCTGAACAAAAGCGAGCCAGAAGTTAAGATGAAAAAGAAGAAGAACGCAGCTTGTTTTATACCAGCAAAACCAACAGCACGATTCTTGCCGGCGTGAAGACGTACAACAAGGCGTCTTTCCAACTTCGGTATGGTTTGATAATTTTCGGCTGCCCCAAGCCCGTCTCCTCATCGAAGGAAAAATCATCGTACTCGTAGACAATCGGACTGCGGTCCTCCTGGTTGTTGTCCTGTATGACAGTGCACAACTCCCCCGCCTCCCCCTCATTTGTCATGCAAAATACCCAATCCACCCTTTGACTCTTAGCACTGTTTGCATGACAAGGTCTGGTTGCCTAAGTAGCACTATACTCCAGTGCAAATTTGTCATGCAAAACCGGCATTCTTGCTCAGGCGTGTGTTGCCGTTCATGCGATACAAATGAGGGGGAGGGGGAGTTGTGCACTGTCATATCCTGGTCTTGAGATCCGTCAACCGAATCCTCGTTGTTGTTATCCAGGTCACGCTTGTTATCCAGGCCCTTTGCTATCAAAAGGAAAAATCCCCCTTCCCCATATCAAAACGAAGTTTCTGATGCAGGATTTGCGTACACAAATCAGACTTGTCTTGCTGGAGAGGAATGCAGCCCCATGCTAAGCCTAAGTAGAGAGGTTCTGGCCTAGGCGTCTAGCATGAGAAACGTCCGCGCTGTAGGCCCATTAGCATCACAAACCGCCTGCACAATGCTGCGGAGCTTGTGGAGTTGCCTTCTTGCAAGACAGACGTGATTTGAGGTCTCAAATCAGCAACACAAATTTCCGGAAACATACCTTTTCGATATGGGGAGAGGGGACTTTTCCTCGTAATATTTGCGACCTGCTGCTCTCGCGTGACAGCAGTCGTCATTGTGTTTTGATTGATGTTGTAAAATCGACAATGGTGTAAAAATTATACCGCACCACGCGCGGTGTTAAGTGTAAAAATGGAAATTCTAATCTTATCTATCACTAAACTATACTAGAATGCTCGGAAGTAAAAATACCGAGCTTCTTACGTAAAATTCCGGGGGAACAATCTTTCAAGTAGGAAAGGGGAACAACTTCTACATACTATCGAATCTAAACACGATGTAAAAAATACTGGACAGTTTTTGGCTAGGCTGGAAACTTGTAAGAAGTAAAATCGGTGAAAATTGCCGCCCCGATAGAAAAAATCCGGGCGAGATTCAGATGAGGTATGTAGCTGTGTACTGGAAACTAGAAAAGAGTCGAAATCGAAACTGGTTTACTGGTACTAAATTTGAAATAAACTTCCCGACGCTGTTCTTGTCGTCCTTCTAAACTATTTATTCTCTAAAACAGATTTCTTGACAAATACTTAACACTTTTCAACTGTCAAAACTGTTTTCGAGATTGTTGACAAAAGCGTGAGAAAGTTGTCGATGAAGATGAAAATTGTTGACAACTACACAAGAACTACTCGGGACAAGAAAACTGACTGTCGCTATGTGGATGAAAAACTCAAGATGATGAAACAGATGCTACTTATGCTGCACGAAACTTGTTGATCACTTATGATTGGAAATGTTGCACTAGACTACTACTGGCACTCTATGCATTGCGCACCACTTTTGAAGACTCTTAAACCTATACTCGATGTAAGTACTTCTGTGCTTTACTCGTACTTCTGTGCTTTTGCATGCTACTGGGTTTGCTAAAGATCCTTCTGAAACAACACCAGATCCTTCTTCCTGTGCCGCAAAAAAGAAAATAATGAAAATGGAAAATACATAATGCAAAAAGCAAGAAAATCACTACCGCATCGCACCACTAACAATTCCGATAGATCATTTTGTGCCAGAAGCGATTCCAAAGAATTACCAAGCTGGAAGTTGAAAAGAAAAAATCACCGCCCCACAGAGTGGCGGTCCAAAAATTTCCGGATCCTGATCTATGTGCATTTCAGATGATCCTCGTCATTTTTTAGATCCTCGAAAAACCAAAAGAATGGCACACATAAGAGCAGAACAAAGCCGTGTCTCCTAAGGCTCTATACACATTTTCGATTTTGAACTTCATTGTTTTTGTCGTTATGTATTTTTTTCTGTAGTGAAAGAATGATTTTTTTACGTTTAGAAAAAAATTGATTTCGAGTGAAGCAGTCCTCTTTCTTGTCCGTAATCCGTTCGGATTTTTCGCAACTGACTAAAAATATAAAGAGAAACGCAATGTGTATCTACAGCTGTGCTAGGCACTTGTTCTCGTTATATTATTTTCAGCTCGCAGGAAGGATAAGGCTGATACTGTCTTCATGCTGTTTCTTTAGTATCGACACAACCGCAACAGCTATTTGCTACTGCAGCAATTTCAATTTCTACTATCAACATCACGAGATCAAATCATCCGTACTAGTACATATAAAGTGAGCTGTGTCCTCGCAGAGTGTAGTAGTTGCTCGTCGGACCTAGAGTGTAGCTCAGGTTCTCTGACGGGTAAGCCTACTCCCCTTGGAGCAGTAGTCGTGCTCTTCTACCCGCCTTGTTACTCTAAGCTCGGCAGTACTAGTCTTGCTTTTATCCGCCTAGCATCAGTTCGTGGACGCTAGTGTTGTCATCTCACCGGCCTCCTAAAGTGTAGCTCGTCGGCGTCAGCTTCTCCGCCAAGAAATCGATCAAGTGTTCCTCGCGATCCAGATCTCCTCCTTTATTCATGTGCTCCTCCCAAAAGTTAGGGGCGTAGACGAGCAACTCCGTTTGCTGAAAAAATCCAAATTCCACCCGGATTTTCTCCACCATACTCCCCGAAACAACCCGGTTGTTCACGTGATCCTCGAACTTATATCCTGTGCAAAAGTATCGTACTGGTAAGGGTATTGCAGTCATGCATTACAAATCTCCTTCTTAAGGCAAATCAAAATCTGCATTACAAATTTCATTTCTCATGCTGAGGAAATTTGTAATGCATTTATACGAGTACGATACTTTTGCAATGCATAACTTATCGTTGCTGACCAAACACCCGCAAATATCCGGCCGTAACGCTTCTTCCAACAAAACCCGATCGACATTCTGGCTCCCATATCCGGTGCAAAAGTATCGTAGTCGTACTAGTTTGAATTGCATTACAAATTGAAATTCCAATACCAATTCGCTCAGCATTACACATTAAATTTGTAATGCGGATTTACCTCGGCAACTAGATTTGTAATGCAGAAGTGCGATTAGTACGAGTACGATATTACTTTTGCAATTCATATCCCAGCCCCGTACTCCGCGCATCGGAATTTCAGCGCGCACACGTGGTGACTACTCGTCCGGTCTGCAACGTTGTTGAAAAAGGTCCGCAATTTGCCTAATTCCAACCCCGGCATGTCCCCCGCGGCGCAACCGATGACGATGTGGGCGGTGGTTGTTAAGTTGATGCGATTTTCGGAAAAGTTCTTGATCAGTAACTCTTGGAAAAACTGCACCATCTTCCGGAGCTTTTCCGGTTGGAACGGAGGAAGGTGGTTCTGTGAGGGAGATGATCCATCTCCATGACGTTGCCCGGGGCTGTTGGTAGCACTGGAAGTCGGGGAAACATTAACGTTGATTCGACGTTGATCAGCAGCAGAGTTGCCTCCCGTTTGTTCCCCGGTAAGATCAATAACATCACCCCGTTCTCCTCCTGTTCCTGCTTCGCCGGTCAAGTCAATAACCTCCCGGCCGTCTGCACTGCCACTGGAACTACCCGATGCAGCGGCAGCAGCGGAAGTGTGTCCTCCTGCTGCGCTGGTACCAGTCGCAGAAGATTCCCTCGCCGGTGAAGCTAGAGTTGCACTACTACTACTACAAATTCCATCGTCGTATCTGGCCACATTGGCTGCGTCAATCACAATTACCAGCCGGCCCGCGTCGGTCGTTGGATCTTCTGCTTGAGAAGAAGAGGAGAAAGAAGCAGGCGAGCGACCCACTTCTCTCAACGGGGGTAAGACCGGCGCCGGGATCTGCCCCAAACCAACATTGTCTTCGTAGAGAAACTGTCCTGTGCAAAAGTATCGCATTCGTAGTAATCGCAGTCATGCATTACAAATCTCCATCCCAAGGTGAAACAGCATGACAAATTCTATTTCTCATGCGGACCGAATTTGTAATGCGATTTCTACTAGTACGATGCTCTTGCAATGCATAGAAACAGCTGTCGATGCCAGAACAGCACTTCTTTCTGCGCGGTGACGACGACCGTGTGCAGCAACCGGCCGCGAGAAATCTTGTTGTTCTTCATCATCATTTTTCCGTTTTTCCCAATAAAACCTTTGTTGCCCTTCCCACCACCTTTATTACTATCATTTCCTCCCCGCGTGTGCTCCATCATGTCCCCCAATCCCGTGCGGAGATGACTGGAAGTGGCGTCCTGGTTTATTCCGTAGTCACCTGGTGGACCATTTTTGTCAACATCTCCGCGCTTCGATTTTTTCGCGCTTTTAATGTGCTTTTCCTTCTTTTTACCAGTGGTATTTCTATTTGCATTTCCAATTCCGAGCATGTTGTTACTGTTGTTGTTGAAGGGGCTAGGCGGGAATGACTGGTCCGAGAGCTCCCGGGAGACCGTTTGGATGCTGCAGCCTCCCTGTTTATTCTTGCCTCCGCCGCCACCCCCGTGGAACCCGGCATCCACGTAATATTGACATTCCTCGATCAGCTCGTAGAAGTTGACAATAATCGAGGGTCCAGGAGGAACTGGAGCTCCTCCTGCCATGGGAGTCGTGACTCTCGGACCTGCTGTTGTAATACCATCGTCCAAACCCGTGGGGGACCTCCGAGAGCGAGAGCTTATGAACTGCAAAAGTATCGTATTCGTATAAATGCATGACAAATTCCCTCAGCATGAGAAATAAAATTTGTAATGCTGTTTTACCTTGAGAAAAAAATTTGTAATGCATGATTGCAATACGAGTACGATACTTTTGCACAGGATAGAACTATTGTCTTGAAGATTATCACCAAGCTTGAAAACAAATTCGCGGTACTGTGTCGTCCGGCTGCCGGTGTTCTTGTCATGCACCATGAAGGTGTCAAAGCCCGGGATCAGTTTCGGTTTGTCCGGCGCGTAAATCGGGAGAAAGTCGGATTTATCCTGTGCAACAGTATCGCACTTGTACTCATCGCAATTATGCATTACAAATCTCCATGTTAAGGTAGAACGGCATGACAGTTGTCATGCTGAGCTAATTTGTAATGCAATTACTACTAGTACCACGATGCTTTTGCAATTCATAGGACTCTTTGAGCAGCACAGACTGCCCATCGACATGGCAGGTCACCACCGCTTTCACAATTTCGGAAAAGCAGCGGATCTGGTAAACCGTGTTGTCCCGCGCGTGGACCTATCCTGTGCAAAAGTATCGTACTGTACTCGTATTGCAGTCATGCATTACAAATTTTCTTGTTAAATCAAATCCGCATTACAAATTTTGTTTCTCATGCCAAGGAAATTTGTATATGCATTTATACGAGTACGATACTTTTGCAATGCATAGGACCCGGAACGAAGAAATGCTGCCTGTTGCGTCTACCTCATGCTTGTCGCTGCGCAAGGGGCGCCACTCCGGGGAGCCGTCTTGCTTCACCAGGATCTGCACCCTGAAGCCGGTTGGATCGATAATGTTACGGTTACTGCAGTTTCGGGCGATTGCGGCAGGGGTGCTGGGCATCGTCCTGATACTCGCCGCTGAAAGGTGACCACCGATAAGCGCTGGGGGTGTAATAACCGAAACAGAGGAGGTCGAGGAAGGCACCCTGGCGCGTCGGTTGCTGATCTGGGGGAGTGCTAGGGCGGGGAAGGAAGCGGGCTCCGTTCTTTGTGATGCGCGAGGGGCAAGATCACCAGTACTACTCCCGGCGGAAAGTGTGGCGGCACTCGAGCTGCTCGGGAGCTGCTGCTCGTGGTCTAGCACTTCCATCTGCCGGCGGGACAACTCCTCTTGCGCATAGAGCAAGCGGGATTCCTCCAGCGCACGTTGGAATTCCTCATCCTCCTCTACCGTAGGCGGGATCAGAATCTCGGTGTGGTGCTGATGTTGATGACCGGTAGAAATCATGGTATGATCGTCGATCCTGTTTCCGCCCGGGTTTGTAGAGGAAGAGGAGTTATCTTCTTCGCCCCCGGGAGGTTCTTGTGCAGCTTGTAGTACTCCTTCGCCCAGTGTTGACCGTTGCTGGTGTTGGTCACCAGTTGTACTAGGCGGGGTAGTAGTTGTAGAGGCCTGGCGCGTATGGATCCCAAATATGTCTGGGTCTGGAAGAATACCAAACTGTGATGCGCATTTCAGAACACAGAAAAATCTCTCATGCATAGGTAGCAAAAGCTGCCCGCTCTCTGTCACCAAAGTGGGGCATTTGTCATGCGGGTTCGACATTGCGGAAGCTTCTCGAAACCTGTGATGCTAGAGCTTCCATGCCAGACCTTCTGTGTCATGCAAAAACAGCATGACTCTTCCAAACCCAGACATTTTTGCATTTGATAGCGCGCGGCTTCTTGTTGGTCTTGCAGGGACAAGGCGATGGCGCGCTCAATGTCCTGGTTGGCCTCGTCGAAAAGGTAATCAAATCTACTTCCCATCTTGTTTTAGTTTTAGTTTTCTTGGAAACAAATTAATAAATGTACAGTAAAGAAGAAAAAGAAATTCGATTGATAATTTGTATTTGATTCTGACTAGTTGTTTAGCGCTTTAGAAATACAAATAACTCATGTGCGTTGTATCCATTATACGTCGAGATTTATTTTCCTAGTCATAAGTACCAGATTCAGATGCTTAGGACGGGAAGGGTAGTCGTCAATGGCTGAAGATGATCTAAAGGGTAGGTACTGCTGTCTGATCTTTCTAGTACGGGCGGTGTGTATCGACAATTCTGGAGAAAGAGGGAGGGAAAAATACACGCGTCTTGAGAAGAATAGTGTTCTTGTGAAAATTTATTTCTGATATCGTCCTGAGATCTACGGGTCTACTTGGTGTTGATGTAGTGCTCCCCTTCTTGGATTGCGTGTATAGTTAGGTACGTATATCCAACTCGTCAGCTCTATCGACTAACTTCGAGTGCGTGACCGTCTTCCTTTTACTTCGTGTTCGTTCTTCTATTTCTATACGGAAAGCGAAAGTAGAAGTACTTTGAAATGTAAAACTTGTCACCTTCATCGACCTGAAAGTTAAGAACCTGTCTTCTACTACGTAAGCAAGGCACTGTAACTGTCAGGGCACTGTGGAAGAGATTTTTGCGGCGAAATGTGAATGTCTGCTAAACAGCAAAACTCAGTATCTATTGGTGTCCAGCAGTTGTCAACATCTGCTAGCGAGGCAACGTCTGTTTCCTTAGAAGCGCCAACTGGTGGCCTCACAACTTCTAGCTTCCAGAACGGACGATCAGCAGCCTGTCATCGGATCAGCCCACTCCGACGCCCTTTCATGACAAGCACCTCAGCAAGTAGAGGTCTTTCTCTTTCGAGCTCATGAAATACAAGATCCTAGGCTTGGTCAATGAGCCAGAAACGAACATGATCGCAGTCATCTTCTACGTGAAGATCTCGGACCGTTCAATGTTCACAGATCGAAATCTACTTCTGGAGAGGAAAAGAGAAAGACGACCGTATTTTCAACACGATAGTACGTCGCGGAGTCCACTGTCGATCCAGACAGAACAAAATCGACAGTGTGCAGTTAGTACAGGTGCACAACAAGGCTGAGAAGTTTATCATACAATAGAGAAACTGACCCTCGGTTCTTCGGTGAGGATGCGAAACCGCGTCTAGTACCAGTAGGTCGAAACAAGCGATGGGAATAAACTGTGTTTCTTTGTTCTTTCATCGTGAAGGCGCAATTATCTGTAGCCCGCGCTACAGTGGCCAGCGGGGCATTTGGTTCTGTTTCACCTGACGAGAGTCATCTTTTGCTCTTCAACTTCATTGAAATTGCCTGTCCTTCACAGGAGTGAGTGAAATAGCACTTTCACAAACCATCCAGATACTTCGCCCACTTCCCGGGCACTTTAAACGCCTTCTTCGGTTTGTTCGCATCATCAGGCGGTGGCACAGCTTCGGCTTCTGCAGTGCGTGTGCGTCCTCGTCCAGTATCAAAAGGTGCACAATTTGAACTTGCCAACTGCATTTTGCTCTCATCCACCACCACCGCCTTCTTCAACCACAATTCACAAATATCCCCCCAGGGAACGTTCCGCCACTTGCCAAAACACACATCGAAGAACCAAAAAAGCTTGACTTTGTCCCCAATCACCTCCTCGACGGAACTAGCCCGCTCCTCCTCCGCCCACTTCGGCAACAAAATCGACATCGTCGCACAGAGGGCGTGTTTCTTCCTCGGGGGACGCTCCTTTCGACAATTGAAACCCAGTAGGCAGATCCCGCGTTCTAGGGAATCAAACACTAATTGGCGTGAAGTCGCGTTTTCAGGAAGTGGTGGTGGCTTTTTGGTGGTCACATGCAGTTGTAACAAAGCAGGAGTAGATTTTTGTGCACAATTTTTCTCCGTGCAGCTGCCTTGATCATGCAGCCCCACCGCGGCCAGTTTCTTTGCCAGGTCTGCAACTGCAACAGCAGGTTCGGTAGTAGATTTCTTGTTCGTCCCGCTGCCCACTACGGAGTTCTTGTCGGACGTCGTCGCTTCGAACGTGTACAGCACGTCCCAGGACTTTGTATTCCGCGTGTTCACAGTGGAAAACGGGTGCAAATCTCCAACTAGCAGCAACGCGAAGGGTGGGAGGGGCCGCCGGCGTGACACGGTTTCGAGAACGTGGACGTCGGTTGTGTTCTCTCCTTCAGAACCGTCTTCGGAGTGGTCGTCATCTGACGTGTTATCGCCGCCATCTTCGCGACCCTCCATATTCTCATCCGCAGAATGGTCACCGTTCTGCTCGCCACTATCTCCACTGGTACTATCCACATCCATGACAATCTCCTCTCCCACCTCGTAATCCGGCGGCCTCGGCTTCCAGCGATACGTCCCACCAACCCCGGGCAAGATATGTGGTCCGTATGCATTGCAAAAGCAACGTGCTTAATACTAGTATGAATTGCATTACAAATTTCCTCAGCATGAGAAATGGAATTTGTAATGCTGATTGACCGTAGGAAAAAGATTTGTAATGCATAACTGCAATTACTACGAGTACGATACTTTTGCAGAGGATAGTCCGCTCGGCCCGTCGATTTCGATGCAGGAAAGGCTGACTTCGTCGTCTTTTTCGTCCGTCGTGTTGTCGACAACGCAGAGAGTCTTCATTTTTTCCTCTTGCCCCAGAAGTAACACCGGTAGGGATTTGCCCTTCTCGTTGTTTTTCGTGGAGACGGACGGCAAGCCCTGCGGGACCGTGGCTGTGCCAGTGTCTCCCCGTAAAGTGGATGCTGCAATTTTTGCTTCGTCTCGCCTCACACTGCGCTCTCTACTTTTTCCTTGCTGTTTCGACGGTAGCTTCCCACGAGGGCCATCTGCGCCATTCTTCCGAGGTCCCCAAAAATCCTTCCCCAGGAGCATCGACGGAAATTTGCCGGAAAGCAGCTCGGCGATGAAGGCGTCCCGAGAACAGGTCTCCATTTTTTCAGCGCCCCGTTCGAGGTCAGAGCTGGTTTTTGTTCCGTCTTTGTGGATTTCCGCACTACCACTAGAATGCTCGTGCACAACTTTCAACAAATTGACCGCAAAATAACGGGCCGTGTTGTAGCCGCCAGACCCAATGTAGCCGGGCACACGCAGCGGTAGCCAGACGACGTGGGACACGTGCGGTTGCAAAAGGCCGTCCAAATCCCTGGCTCTAGACGAAGCCTTGCCAGCACTGGCACTGCTCCCTGGTTCATCTTGGACAACCTCTGCGTCGCACCATCGAGACGCCGGGCTGAACGAGGCGAATCGCGATAATTGCGGCGCCACTGCAGCGCTCTCAACTGGAACCTCCACCAAAGCCTCGTAGTTCGTCGCAGCAAGATAGGCCTCTACTGCATTTCTCGTAGCGTAACTTTGATTTAAAGTCGGGGAGAAAATGTGCCACGTCGGGTTCGCGATCAGGTCGGCGTCTGATATTTGGAATTTATTCGTCGGGTGCGCGTCCTGAGCCGCGGGAATTTTCGTCAAAGGTTGTACTGACGTTGCGCCAACAATGGTGCTCTTGCCTTGCTGGGCATGATCGGCCTTGCTGCCATAAAGACCACGCCGGTCGTCGATGTTCATGATGCGTTTTTTCTCTGCAGAGTCCACGGATGTGCGAAAAAAAATTTCAATCACAAAAGCAAACGAATCTTCTCATGGAGGAAAAATGTTCTTTCACATAATATGGTCGAACTGTACAGTGTGTGGTAAGTGGGACCTGAGAAAGTTGGCGTCAACTATTACTGCCAGCAGAATTGCTTAAATATCAGAGGACACCTCGTCACGGTGTTTTGAGACAGGATCGCGTTTTTCTTTTCCGACTAATTCAACTGCAACAATCTGGTGCAGTGCAGGGTGAACACCTTCAGGAGTCCTCCAGTTTGGCTAACGGGAGTGCGTGTCATCTCCCTCCACTCTGCTTTTTTCTTCTTGTATTTATTTCAGGAAAGAAATTCCACCGGATGCAGCTCCGTGGTACTACATGACATCATGTGTTGTTCTTACTTATGCGAAAACGGAGAAACAAATTTAGCGCCAGATAAAAGACCCTGAATTTTTTGCGCCGGTAAATCTAATCATAACTACCGTCCGACTTTTTCGGAAATCCTAACCGCCAGAGTGTTTTTAGATTTGGAAAAGAAAAAAAAACCGTTGCGACTGCGTCTGCGCCAAAGGGAAACGGAATACAAAGAAGTTGTAGTCTATAGCGAGGTACTTATTTCTTGAAAAAAACGCCGGAAAAATTTTGTCGAAAAAAACGTCTCGCTCGGAGAGACAGTCAAGTTGATAGATAAAAAGAACCGGTAAAGAACTTATGTGCTCAAGTAGATGAGCGCATCTTCAATGGAAGTTACTGCAGAGGCCGGCTTAGGAGCCAGCCCCCTGGCAGCTAAATCCATTGCATTTGCAGTTTGAGTTTCAACATAGAAGTCGCATTATACGAGGCTCAACTACAATACCGCTACATACTTAAATTTCAATACTCGCCGAAGTGAAAGAATGGCTAGTAGCAAAATCGAGCGTGATAACGGATCAATCTCCATTCCAGAGAATGGAAGAAGTGAAACCTAGCTTAATTGATACTTACTATGCTGCACACTACGTCGTACTCGTAATTTACTTGCATCTGTTACCACAACACAGAAACACACAGACACGTTTTTGAAAATTGAAACGATAGATCTCAGTTGAGATGAAATCCTCCGTCAAAGACCGACTTACTCTTCGTACAAGAGCTAGCTAAGTACCTGCTCCAGTAGATCACAACGCATACCCCAGCGACCTGGCCAAATGTTCCCCGTAGTACACGTACTCCAAGTTATCAAATGCAAAAATGTCTGGGTCTGGAACAGTGGAACTTGTGATGCGTGTCTTGCATTCCCGGAAAATCTGCGTTGCAAGAGCAGCAAAAGAGGAGCTTAATACTTTGTCATGGAAAAACGAAATTTGTGATGCGTGTAAGGCATCAGTAGGCGTCTCCAAAACTTGTCATGCCTGGCTGCCATTGCAAGCGCTTCAATCATGCTCAACTCAGCATCACAGATTTCCAGACCCAGACATATTTGCAATGCATACAAGTCCTGATTCTGCAAAACCTTCACCGTGTTCGAACCGCCGACCCCAAACGCCTGCTCCTTCAAATCCTTCTTCAGTTTCAGCGGCACCTTCGCGTCGAGCGACGGGTTGTAGAAAAAGGGCACGGAGATATCAGAACGAAAAATCTCCCCTCCCCATATCAAGACGAGATTTCTGATGCTGGATTTCCGTACACATATGCGCGCTGTCTTGCAATACGGCATCGCAGCCAGATCCTCAGCCTACGTAGAAGGGGCGATTGGGTGTGCGTCTAGTTGTTTAGCATTGCAAACGGCTGTCCCCTAGTCCCAACAGCATGCCAAATCGCTTCCATAATGGGGCGGAAGCCCCTGCGCTTCGCTTCTTGCAAGACCGACGTGATTTGTTGTCTCAAACCAGCAACACAAATTTTCGGAAACATACCTTTGCGATATGGGCAGGGGGGATTTTTCCTCGCAATAGGAGACCCGGTGCTCCTTTCCCGAATGAATCACGCGGTGCAACCGGGCTAGGTATCTCCCGTTGCTTATCATATGCAAAAACGTCCCCACGACCCCCTAGTCATCAAGTTGGGAACTTTGCAAGAGAAATCGACAAGCTTTGGCTCTTGCGCATGACAAGTTTAGGCCCGCAGTGTATTATTCGTGTTTAGCTAGTACAGCAGCATCACACATCTAGTCGCTCATCCTGATTCGAGCATCACAAATTTCAAAACAGCATTAGAAAACGCGATTTCATGGGGCTCCGCATGAGAGATATTTTAAGCATGTGGATCTGCATGACAACTATGGGTTCTTGGGGGCGTTTTTACACAAGATATTGCTCCAAGCCGACATCATGTCCCCGATGTTCACAATGATCGCGTTCTTCCGCGGTGCCACTCCGTGCCAATTGTTGTGGATGTCCTGGATTTGTAGTGCTGGCGTTTCCGTGGAGTCCTGGTTTAACAACGTCAGCCAGCCGAAATCCGTGTGGGGCGCCATGGAAACCTTGAAATTATTCGGGTCGTCCTGGATGATTCCCTTGTAGTGCAACACCCGGAGGTACCATATCGAAAAGAAAAATCCCCCGTCCCCATATCAAAACGGAAATCTGTGTTGCTGTATTTGAGTACACAAATCACATTTGTCTTGCAGTAAAGGACTGCACGCAGATCGCGATCCTAAGGGGGCGCCTCTTGGTGTAGGAGCCCAGCATGGCAGACGCCTACCCTTAAGGCCTTGCAGCATTACAAACCGCCCGCATATCGTGGCGGAGTCTCTGAGTTTGCCCTCTTGCAAGAGAGACAGGATTTGTGGTCACAAATCGGCATCACAAATTTCTAGAAGCATACCTTTTCATTATGGGGAGGGGCGATTTTTCCTTTTGATATACCACCAGGAAGCGTCAGAGGCTTCTGTCATCCAAGTTGCCGGGACGGAGTAGGTATCAAATGCAAAAATGTCTGGGTCTGGAAGAGTGTAAACTTGTCATGCAGGTTTTCCATGACGTGTGAGGCCTGGATCTGGAATGCGGGACCTAGCATGACAGAGTCTGTGAGGTCTCTGCCATGCCTATCCTGCATGAGAAACTCCCTCCAAACTTGGTCGAAAGTGGACACCTTTCAGCACTCATGCAACACAGATTTCTGCATGATTCAGATTTAGCACGAGAAGTTGCAATCTTCCAGACCCAGACATTTTTACAATCCATAGTAGGAATGCGCTTGGTCGTGGTTTTCGTACAACAAATCGTTCAAATCGGTCTTCCCGTTCTTTGTGTTTGATGCTGTTCCGGTATGACAGTGCACAACTCCCCCTCCCCCTCATTTGTATAGCATGAACGGCAATAAAAGCATCAGCAAGAACGCCGGTTTTGCATGACAAATTTGCACTGGAGTGTAGTGCTATTTGGGCGACCAGAACTTGTCATGCAAAATGTGCCAAGAGGCAAAGGGTGGATTGGATATTTTGCATGACAAATGAGGGGGAGGGGGAGTTGTGCACTTTTATATCCGGCATGATGGTTCATCCGCACCCCGACTGCCGGCGAGGTTGGGACAGAAGTGGAGGCAGCGGTTGACAACGTGGTCAAACTATTGCTGTTGTGGAAATTGTCGACATCCGTTGTACTCTTCTGGTCGTCGGAAGTTAGCTGTGGTAGGACTGCGCTAGAAGCGGTTGCTCCGTCCGTTTGATCTTGTCCTGCTGGAACATCCACTTCATCTTCTTTTGCCAAACCCCTTCCCCCGTGATTCGTCGTGGTCAGTTTGTGCAGCAATTTCACGAAGTGCGTAGACCCCTCCGCCCCGGTGTCTTCGCACAGCGCCTCGTCCAGGGCCAACGCCATGGCGGTCATCAGTTTCCGGCCGACCCGTTTCATCGCCTCGGAGTACTCGGTGTTCAAATACTCCGTTAAACTCACCGTTGATTCAACCGACACCGTGTCATCCGTGCTTTTGTTCTTCGCGTAGACGTATGGATTGCAAAAATGTCTGGGTCATCTGGAAGAGTGCAGGAGTTTGTCATGCAGATTTTGCATGGCCCATGAGGTCTGTGATGCATGCCCTAGCATGGGATATTTTGCGAGGGTTTCTGATGCTGTCATACCGCATGAGAAATTCCCTCTCCGCGTAGCACAGATTACACCTCTTTTGCTGTTCATGCAATACAGCTTTTATGTAGATTCCAAAAGTAGCATCACAAGTTGTACCCTTCCAGACCCAGACATATTTGCATTTGATAAGACGTACTTCTCGAGAAAATCTCGTCGCGCCTGCTCGACTTGGAGCGGTACTTCTACTTTCGCAGTGGTTGTTGTACCACCATCTGCGTTATTGCTGTTCAATTTCATCTGTGCGAAAAACCCGTCTCCGTAAAACCCTTCCGGGACTTCTCGGACGAAATCAAATGCCTGCCGGGTCAGAACCTCGGAGGAAACGGACTCAATCTCCTTTGTCTCTTTGTTCAGCGCAAAGGTATGGCGCTCCGCGGGCAGGTACCCGCGCCCCGCCCACCAGTGCTTGATCGGGAGGTAGTTGCTTTTGTTTGATGTGGAATTTTTATCGGAATTTGTAGTGCTGCCTGCTGTTGTTTCATCATCCGCGTTGTTGATGTTCTTGTCCTCGACTAATTTTTCAAACACGGTTTCCATGGTCAAATCCAGGTGCTGGCTGCTGTTTTCTCCTTTCTGCTCGAAAAATTCGTGCCCGATTCTCTATGACAGTGCACAACCACCCTCCCCCTCATTTGTATTGTAAGTACGAACAGCATCACAAGCACCAACACACTCACACGTGGAGCCTGTGCATGACAAGTTCACGCGCTGAATGTAGTGCTGGCACGGTAGTTCCCGAAATCTGTAATGCAAATAGTGCCACAAGGCGCCATCTGGATTTGGGATTTCGCATGACAAACGAGGGGTAGGGAGGGTTGTCCAGTTTCATATTTTCAACACCTTCTCTAAATCCAAGTCCAACCCACCCTGTTCTTTCGCCACATCGAACCCTTCTAGGTAGAAAAACCCGACGGTTTCCAATGCTTTCCGCATCTCTTTGATAAACGCGGGGTCGATGCTGGCGCCCGAGTCGCCGTGCTGGAAACCCAGCTTCTCGATCCGCAAGACTGGAATCTCCAGTTCGGCCATGGTGTTCGTCTATTCTTGTGGGGGGGGGGGTGAAGTAGAAGCGCGTACCGGAGATCAAGGGACGATCACGAGAGGGCTTACATACGCAAGTTGCGGTCAGGTGTGGCTCGGAAAGTAGAACTACGTCGTGTCTCTTGTGACACAATCTTGAAGGGTACGCTAGTAAATTGTCGCATTTTTTACCAGAAACACACCGTACTTAACAGAAAAGTAATTCCGTCTCCGGAGGGACAAAAATTCATCTCCCACTCAACAGACTGGTACCTCAACTCTGGGGAGACCTGATGTATAACATTTTTGTCGGGACATTCGTAGCTGTTCGGGTGCAGGAGACTTAGTAGCAGTGTTGCATTCATCGTAACACCTTCGCTAGCAAAAGAACGAAGTAACGCACCGATGTTCCGCAATGTGGCAGATCAATTCAGCGATGCGACAACCGAGAGGAAAAGTCTTCAGCAATGCAGCAACCGATGTACTAAAAATTGCCGACGTGCTCGACCGACAAGTTGTCTTCGTGCATTTGAGAAGCGGGCGAAGTAGGCAGGATAACTACCGAGGAGCTGAATTACATCAACGCGACAATCTTCCGCTCAAACCGAAAAACAGAACAAATACAGGCTGAAAATTTGTTAAAATTCCGGCGTCTCCGTCTACTGGAAAAATTGTTAAAATTCATCAACGCGATCGGGTTTTTGTTTTTCTTAGTGTGGCGTGGGCGTGCATCAAATCTGCATCACGACATCAACAAACGGTTTTTTTCTACTGTATTATGCTGAAACTACTGCCGGGACTACAGGCGTATCGGCCTACATAGAAGTTTGCATTCAAAAAACCCCCGCACAACTACTTAGCCCCTTCACGACCGCAGCCACGGCCGCGCGCGTAATGCTGCGAGGTTCTCAACATTCTCGGTACCGTATTACAGTGAAAAGTGCCCCCCACTCCTGAAATTGCAAAAATTTGTGATGCGAAGTTTCCAAATGAAAACTTTTTGTCATGCATGAAAGGAGTGTGAATCTTTCTGATGCAGAGTCTAGCAGTGTATCGCATCGCTTGCATGACAAGCGCCGCTCTTGCTGGGGTCTTTTGCAATACAAATTTTTGCTCTTCACGATTGGAAACCTGTGATGCTGATAGATGCAAGAGAGCGAATGTTTCATTTGGAAAGGTTTGCAATACAAATGCTCCCAACGATTCAGCGGTGGGGGCATTTTTCATTGTAATATACCGGCAGAGGTGTTCTTGGAACTACTTGCGGTGCTGGCAATGCTGCTTCGCCTGCTCTGTATCAACTGCAAAAATGTCTGGGTCAGGAAGAATGCAACTTGTGATGCTATTTTTGAAATCTAAAAAAATCTGTATTGCATGAGCAGCAAGAGGCGTCCAGTTTTTGCTCCGCGGAGAGGGCATTTGTCATGCGGGATAGGCATCAAGATACCCGCAAAAAATCTGTCATGCTAGGTCATGCATTACAGGCATCATGATAGCTCATGCGAAATATACATGACAAACCTAGAAATCTTCCAGACCCAGACACTTTTGCATTTGCTACTCTGGACCACAGGGCTATTTCTGGAGGACGAGCGCCTTACTACCTTCGAAGACGCTACACTCCTGGAAGACGACGTGGAATTCCTTAGCGACTTCCTTCGCTTATTCCCGAGTAGTTTCCGCCGAAGCAGCTCCTTCGTGCGGTTTATGGAAAACAGAAAACTACCTACACTTGTGGTACAGGTATGGACATACGTAGTGCAGCAGGACAAAACCCTTAGTTACAGTAGTTCCCCAAGAAGAGCCAACCAGCATAAACCAATCTTGCTCTTCTTCTTGAGCTCCTTGACGGCTACATCTAAATCATCCACTTACACATATCCTTCCGCGACCACAGAGTGCTATTGTTTCTCCCCTCATACCTTCAACCGCCTTCTTGTTTTCATTTCTCAAAAAAATTGGTTGCTTCTCTTTCAGCTCTGCTGCGGCTGCGCCCCGTGGAGTTTCAGTAGCTGAAGCTGAAGTGCTAGTCGTCTCTACTCCGCGCTGATCACCACTCATGTCGCGAAAAAGGTAGTTGCTACACGCGGATGAGGTGGCGGAGAGGATGTTGAGCAGAGGCGTTGCAGATGAGGAAGAATACGAGCTGCTGGTCGACGGCGGACCAAAGTTCGTGGTCAATGGGGTCGTGGCGGTACTAGAAAATCCGCTGCTCCTCGTCTTTGTGCTGCTCTGCGGATGGAGAACTACACCACCACTACAGCTTTCGTACTCTATCGTCGACGGGGACAACGGGGAACCCTCGATCGTTGAAGGGGTAAGGGGTTGCTCGTAGTCTTTCTCCGCCACGACTTGTTCTACTAGCATTACACAGTCAGAAGCTGCTGCCACTCGTAGTTGGAACTGCTGCAAATTCTGCTCCAGTTCCGGTAAAATCTTCTCTTCCCAGTTCTCCCGGGTGAGCTGCTCGGCGAGGTGCTGTTGCCTACGCGACGACTGGTCGGCGTGCAGATACTCCTGATCATGTAGAAGTTCATCCCTCTGCGCAGCAGAAACAACCCGAACCCGGCCTTCACTTACACTAGGAAGCTGCTCACGCTCCTCGTACCGCTGAGGCCCCCCGTCGTGGTGCACATAGATCTCCTCGTCCAGAATCTCAACTTGATCCTCGTCCTCGTTGTGGGCGTCTTCATTCTCCTCGCCGTTGGAAGAACCATTCTGCTCGACGGATGTTGTTCTGCGTAGCTCCGTGTCGTTGTCGTCCTCTTCATCTTCTTCCATCTCCACCCCGTGGTCCACCTCGACCACCGCCGGCACGATGTTAATTTCCTCACTCAGCATCTCTAGTTCGATTTTACCGCCGGCCGAGGCTATTACCGCTTGCGCCAGCCGTAGGTCTTGCTCTTCCAAAATCTCGTGAAATTCAAACTCGTCCGCGATCTCGAAGAGGAGAGAGTTAGTATTTTGATTTTCTGCTCTGTTCCTTCCTCTTCTACTCCTGCAAAAAAGCCAACAAACAACCCTCGTTCCACTATCGCACAGAAGTAAACAAATCCGGAAAACCTTCCGCCCCACAAACCAGCACAAATCGCAGACGCAGACGAAGAGATAGGTGAGAACTAGTGTTGTGGTGACCAAAACGAAAACCTCCTCGTTGGTTAGCGGGACCGGCGGTGGCAATTTCCTTCCCGGGGTGAAGTATTCTGGTTGCGGAAGATTGTTGTGGTTTTGCTGCTGAAGATGCTGCTGCTGCTGTAGCTGCCTGTTGGACGGTGCGAAGAAAGATGGCACCGCGGACGAAAACCACGACGGGGCAGGCATTTTTGGTTTTTCGAAGAAGTACCGCAACGCGTACCTCTCGCTTCTTGCTTTGATTCTTCTTGACGAAACTGGCACTCACCGTACCAAGAAAAAACTCTGTTGCCATGGTCATGCCAGGAAAAATGCTCTCGAATAACTAAGCAATCCCTCGTCTCTGCTCGTCACTCTTCTCTCGCATACTGCAGGAACGGACAGAACAGCGCTGTTGCTGCAGACGGTCACACAAATCCTTATTCTAGGTGTAGACTTGTTTTTGATTTACCGCTTTCAGACTTTTCTCGCCTGGGTGAGATTTGAATAGCCACAACGTTCGAGAAAGGATACTAGATTCACGTTTGTCCTCTACGGCACAATCTACTTCTTCCCTCTTCCTTTCACAAGAAATACCGGGATAATTATCAGTCCTATCACCTCTTCCTGTTTTTCGACAGAAACCCGCGCCAATTTCCGATCGGGTGCGACTTTTCATCCGCGTCAAAGTCTTGTTTGTAAATCTTCACCGTCTTATCGCACTCCGCGGTTATTAATCTGGTCTGTGACTGGTCAAACGCCATCCCGAAGATCGCGTTCTCACTTGACAAAGACCCCGGCTGCGGCTTGCCCTCGATGGATTGAAACAAGTACCCCGTTTTCCAGTCCCAGAAGTGGAGAAAACCGTCGTCTCCGCCGCCGACTAAAATACTTGATCCGTCTTCATTTTCCCGGATCGCGCAGGCGTTGATGATGCTGTCGTGGCCGTAGATGTCGCGCTCAAACACGCCCTTTGGACACCGCCAGACTTTGTTCTGCGCGTTACTGCAGGAGACAAAGGTGTACTCCTTGGGGTGGATCGCGACGGCGCGAATGGACTTTTTGTGGTTCGTCAGAACCGCCATGGATTTACCGGCCGCAAGGTCCCAGAGCTTCACCTGTGATAAGGATTTGTTGCTCATGTGAAGTAGGTCGATGTTGCGCAATAGAGATGCAGGACGAGTAGAAGAGAAAATCGAAATACTTAGAAATCGGTATCTATAGTTTGCATTCCCTCGTCTCATGCAGGGTGAAATACATCTACTACAGCGCATGCGCAATAGTACTATCTTTCTAACTATGTATACCGTGTTATCCGCACTCCCGGAGATAAACTGCGGCTCCGCGGCCTGACTGGCCAAGCAGTGGACGGCGGCTTCGTGGGTTAAGGCGAAAATCTGCGATCGGGACCGAATATCCCAAATTCGGACCGTTCCATCACGACCGCCCGAGGCGAGAATGTCCAGGGTGGGGTGGAGCTTCAGGGAATAAACCGCTTGGAGGTGGCCGTGGTAGGTTCGAATGATTTTGTTTGTGTTCAGATCCCAACAGCGAACCTGTCATGCGGTGGTGCAATAAGGCGCATTGAGTTGTTCAAGTGAATTTGTGTTGCATGATAGCAATAGAGCTCTTACGGCGTTTGTGCAAAAAGCGCATGACAAAAATTTTTTGCCACAATGAAATAAGTCTCATCTTTTCTATACCTCGTTATCCTCCCCTCCCGAGTAGAAGTACGGGTGGTGTTTCGAGATCTCCAATGCGCGGACGCAGGAACTGTGCCCGGTCAATGTCAACTTCAACGTTCCCGTCGCCAAGTCCCAAAATTTGATCAGCCGGTCTTGCCCACTCGTGCAGAACCATTCATTCGACGGGTCAACCGCGACGCAGCGGACCCAACCGGTGTGACCAGCTAGCACTTTGTGTAGCTTCCAGGGCCTATGCCACTGCGGTTTTTCTAACGCACGGAGTCGCTGATCGGGGTTTTCCAAGTTGATGATCTGATCCCCCTCTCGGTAAATCGAAAGTTGCACTTGCGAATCGTGGACGATCTTATTCGCTTGCTTGGTCGATTCATCAGGAGTAGTTTGTGGCTTCGCGGGCCCGGCTTCGTTCCCGCCCATCTGGTGGGCGAGGGAGAGTTGCTGCTGATTACTATTGCTGGAAGGTCCATTCGCGACGGTGTTGACCGGCTGGGGGAGCATGGCGAGTGCGGTTTCGGAGGTTTTCGCGTCCGGGGCGATGACACGCGTGGTTTTCTGATCAATGTTCCTGCTGCTCGCGGTGGCGCCACCGAATTCCAGGGCAAGCATACCGGCGGGACCCTCGATGGCGGTCAGGGAAGCTTGCATGGCCGGGATACCGGCGCCGCCTGGGTGAGTGGTTTGTTGAGATTTGGTGATCGTGGTCTCCTCATACAATGGTAAAATCTGTATCAAATGAACAGACGCAAACAATAGAGTAGAAGCCTGCTTTTGTAGTATGGCATCGACAAGCACAGTAACAGAAAGCAACATTAGGATAAAAATACAGCGATAAAAATATCGCATTCATCAACACCAATGAATTATACCTCTCCTCACCCCGACCTTCTCTTCGATCAACCCATACTCGTTTGATCTCTTGAAATCCAGCTTCAAGGCCTTCCACTTTGGCACATCCACCGTGTCCAGCGGCTCGGGATCAATGTTTTCCGGGCCGAAGAGCTGAAGGGACCGTTTTTTGTTCTTCAGTATCCTGTCCCACACGGAGGCTTTATACGCGTCCTCCTCTCGATTCTGTTCCGCAAGGAGCTCGTCGTTCGACTTCAACAAGTCCACGGCGGAGTAAACCTTCTTCGTGCCACCGATCATGTGGTGCTGCCCATTCGCAGGCGGGTAGGGCGGGGCGGGACCGAACATTTCTTGTTGATCGTGTAGGAGGTGTACGTGTCGCTAATTGTTCTTGGGGGAATAACTCAAATAAGGGAAGATAAAACGAGATTAGGTCTGATTCATGTCGTCGTCGCTCTAAAACTTCTTGGAAGCTAGAGCTACTGTGCGAAAAGAAGGGCAACAAGAGTATCTTCACCGCTTTGTTCTAAAGCCAGGACGAGCTCCATGATGGATGAAACATGTGTAGCACGAAGATAATCAGAATCACTTATTGTAAAAGATTGATACTTTGTTGCGGTCGCTGTCGTGAGCATAGTACGGAAAAAGAAAAATTCGCTTTCATCATCGACTTTATCAATATTTGCACTTCGAATAATTCCGGAGCATGAGTGTCGGGCAACTACAACAGGTTTAATTGCTGATCTTGTGCGAAAATGATCTTGCGTAAAATTGCGTTCGGTTCTACCACGTTTTTCTTCGGAAGATCCTCATCCTCCTTCTCCCGCTAGTTCGAAAGAATTTGTGAAAAATTTTGCATCCACAGATCTCGCTTAATTCCATCTCAACTACAGTCGTGGACTTTTTGAATTTTGCGACTGTAGCTCGCCACTGCAGCCTCACAGAACAGCTTTAAAAATATTCCCGAAGAACACTCCACATGATTCGTCGAAGCGTGCTGCACTGACGATCTTGATGACGTCGTGCCGCAATGCTGCAATATTTTGGAATGAAATTGAGAATTAGAAACGAAAGCCATTCAATACTAAGTCGTGTGCTGGTCTACTTGAATCGTTCCCTGTGAAGCAATTTTTTTCATCTTCCATCTACCGCCTTCTCGAAGCTCGATGTTGAATCCCGTATACCTGTTCATAAAAAATCCACCTCATATTAAAATTTTTCAGCCTACACTGCCTCCTAAACAATCTATCGAGCAGCTGCACTACTTCCTGCTGGCTGCTGCTGTGTTTTTTTGATAAAATTGCTTTTGAAAAGAAAATTGTTATTTGAAGGAAAATTTAGAAGTAGTCCACTCAGACTTTTAGAAGTAGTACTGCCACCTCCGGTGAACTTCTCAATCATCTTCTATTTTTCGACTACTAGTAGGTACGTACACAACAGGCTTGTAGTAGTTCTACTGGTGCGAAAAAAAAAAGATGAAGAGGACTTCTTCTCGACTGCAAAATTCAAATTGTACCAGTACAGGTCGGACTCATATTACAAAATTTTGTCTTATAGTTTGAATTTTCTCTCGACTGCTTCATCTGCTTCTTCTCGATGGAATGTTCTGCTCAAGGTTGTTCTTCACTGTATTGAATGGGCCAATGGATAATATTTCGACTGATTTGTTCTTGAAAACCAGCTTTATATATTACCAAAGGCTGTAGTTGTGTAAGTAGTTTTTGTGGATGAAATGTAGGCTTGCCGCCACTGTCGTTTGATGTTGTTGACTTCTTGCTTCAAATGATTTTCATTTTCAGCCACGCGGAGGTCGCTTTTTGTTTGTAAATGCGGTTTATAAATTTATTTTCGGATGTCTACTAGTAGTTGTCCACCTTTTACAGGTATGATCGGTTCTCTGCTTGCAACTCTTGCCTAGTGTACAACTGGTAGTTGTAAGTTACTATAGTTGATGTGTTGACAATAGCGAGCAAAAGCTGGACGAGACAATCCGTTCTTTTTACAGTATACTTTCTCTTTGAACCGATAATTTACTTTTTGTTGAAAATATTTTAAGACCAGAAGTCGAGCAGCAGCCATGTGTTGAATGTATTGTGTAGTAGACCAGCAACATGACCTAAATATGGGATAAGTTGACTCAGAAAATGAAGCTATGCAGCTTGGATAGAAATAAAATTGAAAGACCTTTTATGTTTGTCGTCATCTTCTCGCTGCGGTCGCTATGCTATAGTTTTACACCCTCGACTACATCGTCGTATAGCAGTTAAAAGATGTTGCAGCGCTCTGTCGTAGTTGTGTATAGATTTATTCAGGCCTAATTCGTCGAGAAGAAGCTCCTACACGCACGACTACAGGGTTCACGAAATGCTATCGTTTTGGTTCGGAGTCGGACCCCGCTGCAGGGGGTCTAACTACTATCGCGGCCGCGTGCAAGAAGGATGCAACCAGAAGGCTGCAATTTTTAGGAGTACTACCTCCAGGTTGAATAAATCAAGCACGCGTCATTATCGATCTTCCCCAACATCGCGATGGAATTATCTTCTAGGTGGAGCAAAGGCCTGAAAAATCATACTGCTTAGGTCTTCATGGAAATCGAATTCTTCGGAACAAGTTTGTTGAAAAGTTCTTAAGTATTCATCTTGCGCGGCCGGGGGTAAGTAGTGAGGTTTTTGTTTCTTGAATAAATCAAAGAACTTAATGGCGTGGGACATTTTTAAGACTGGAGAAATAATCGAGGTAAAGATTTTTTGAAAAAGATTTTTTAGGTCGAACTGGATTTTTCTCTAGATTTGGGTTAGACATCAAAGTGCTGGACGAGCTACGTTTTTTTCGAAATAAACTACGTGGAAGAGCTAAAGATAACGACTGCACTTCTGACGGTGGTATAGTGAGGAAAAACTCTACCCGACAGGAAGCTGCAATGGTTGTCGCGCTCTATCAATTTTTTGAAAATGTTAACTTGAGAAAGAAAAAATTTTAGGGTGGTACGAAAAAAAGTTCTTCTGGAAATAAAGTAAGAACCGAGGCTGCTTCATCTACTTCCAGTGGCCACTGCCAAAAGTAGTTGTGCCGCAACAAGTTGTGTCAACTATTCCGTAGCAGCCTCGGTCGTGATGGTGTTTTTTAGCTCGCCAATATAATGTGTTGAAATAAAAAACTCTTAATCGTCCCGTCTGTAGTCCAATGGCGGGTCGTGCCGAAGGTACTACAAGACGGGGAGAAAGAGATTTTTTCCGTTTCCGAAACAAAGTAGACTTGTTGTAATCTGATCTTGTTGTGCTCATCTCGATGTTTGTTGTGCTGTGTCGTGTAGATGTTTAGTACTAGTTGTACAAGAATGGGTGTTTTACTATTGCTCTCGTCGCCGCGAAACTTGTTGTTTGCCGTAATGTACTTCTAGTTTTATTGTCAGGGGAGTCGTTGTCGTGTTGTGACGTCGTGCACTTCTACTTATATATTGTCATCGTCAAATCCGATCGTCCCAGCTTGTTCCATATCCATTTCTTATACCGGTAGAAAATTTTGAAAATCACATTTTCTGTTTGGTCGTGCGAAACGTATGGCTTGATGTGCAACAGAAGTTTTTGGGACGATGTTGGCGTCCTGTAGTCCTCTTACGCATACTGGTATATTAAGTCTGATTTTTTGATGTTGTCGTATGCATTTTATGCTGTTGTGTATAACTTTTCCACAACACCTCCAACGCGAAATCTATTTCGATCGGTTGTTCTTTTTCGTGTTTTTCGAGTTTCCTTTTTTCCCCTGCTGCGGAGCGCCATACCCACCATGTTGATTGTTCTGCGACGTCGATTGTGGCATCGGCAACGGCATGAGACCGTGACCACCAACACCAGCTGCAGCTCCAGCCCCGGCTCCCAATCCCTGCTGCATCATGGTCATTTGCAAGGCAAAGTTGGCCATGGGGTCCATCCCTGCTCCCGAGAATTGTCCCATCTGGACATTCAGATTCCCGGCAACACCTCCGAGCAACATCGGGTTGAAGTTAGAAGCACCTCCCATTCCGCCGAACCCGGCTGGTGCTCCCGGCATGATCAAGTTCTGGGCACCAACACCATGATCCGGAGCGCCGCCGGGCGTTTGCCCCGCCAACGCCTGGGCCATGAACGGGTTGTACAGGGGATTCAGCATCAGGTCGAGACCACCCGGGGAGCTCGGGTCCACTAGGGGGTTGCCCGTCAGGTCCGTCATGTGGTCCAACAGGCCTTGGGTCTGTAGTTGGATTTGTTTTTGGAAAAAATCTACTCGTTCGCAATTTTTATATGAGGATCAAAACTCGTCTACACTAAGTTGTAGCTCCTCGAGTACTAGCGAAAGTCGTTCAGAAGAACAAACCAGCCCCTAAATCCTAAAACACTAAAACGTGCGAGAAGAAAGAACAAAAAAAGCAGAAGCAAAGAAATACCAGTTCCGCGGGGGCGGTCAATCGTCCTTCCGGCGTGTCCCCAGAGGGGTTGTTGTTCCCACCTGCACCGTAGCCCATGCTCTGGTGCGCCCGTGGCGCCGGCGCATACGGGGACTGGTCCCCAAAGTCCGCAGTGACCAGGTTGTGATGTGCAGCGCCGGTCACCGTGGAGGTCCGGGCGGGGTAGGAAAGGCCCGAGGAGGGATTGGACCCGGTATTGTTCGAATCAGTGGCGTTCTTTCCCCCGTACTGGTTCTTGCCGGCGGTCCCGGTCTCTTTGGACCCTTTATTCATCTTCCCATTCCCCTTCTGATTTTGGTTGTTCTTGTTCATCCCAGTGTTGCTGTTGTTCGTCCAAGACGAGTTGTTGTCTGTGTTGTTTCCCGCCCACGACTGGTTGTTGTCCCAAGAATTGCCGTTGTTTCCAGAGGATTTCGCGTTCATTTTCCCGCCTTTGTTGCCATTGTAGCCAGAGTTTTGGTCGTCCCAAGAAGAGGAATTTTTTCCGCCCGTCTGGCCCTTGGCCTTCTTCCACTCGGCGGCCCACTGGTCGTTGTTGTCCTTCCCATAGCCGTAGGAATTGTCTTTGGAAGATTTTTTTCCCCCCTTCGCGTTGTTCCAATTCCCGGATTTGTCGTTACCGCCCCAGGAGGACGAGTTGTTGTTTTTGTCGTTTTTACCACCGGAGCCCCAGGAGTTGTTGTTCTGTTGACCGGTGGTACCCCAAGACGAAGCATCGTTGTACTTCCCAGCACCCTTGTTGTTCCCACCGGATGTAGTTGCACCACCCCCGCCGCGCCAGTTGGAATCGCCACTCCCGTACCCCTTGTTTCCCTGCACAACCGGGGACGAACTCGGCGAGGTTTCCGGCATCGTGCCCACCCCGCTCACTTTCTGCAGGTTCGCCTTCTCCGTGTTCCGGACCGAGTCCTTGAAAGGTCGCAAGTTCGAGATCGGCTGCACGAAATTCACGCCGTCGAGGAGGCAAGCCTTCTTCACCGGGGACAACTATCCTGAGTAAAAACGTACCCACACCAGAGTCAAAATGGGAAATCTGCTAGACAAATCATCCAGCTTTGGTTATTCCGCATGACAAGTTTGCCCTCGTAGTGTAATCCAGTTTACCTAGTTCCGAAGCATCACAGATCTAGCACATCATGCCGATTCTAGCATCACAAATTCCAAAACACGACTAGAAAACGGCTCTCATGGGGCTCCGCAAGAGAAACTTTTTTGGCATGCAGATTTACATGACAACTCTGGGGTGGGGACGTTTTTCCTCAAAATAACAAGGTCGCCGACTTCAAGATCTCCAGCCGTTCGTTCTGGTTCGATATCAAATGCAAATATCCCTGGATGTCTGGAAGTAGGATGCAAGGTTTGTCATGCACAGTTTGCATGACTCCTGACGTCTGTGATGCATGCCCTTCTAGCATCACAGATTTTGTGAGGGCTTCCTCATGCCTATACCGCATGAGAACAAATGCCCTCTACTCGCCGTGGCAAAAACTGCACCTCTTTTGTTGTTCATGCAATACAGATTTTGGTAGTATCCAAATGCAGCATCACAAGTTGCAACCTTCCAGACCTAGACATTTTTGCAATGCATATTCAACCGCTTGGCGTTGTGGTTGTACCCGATCCCGGCGTCGAAAAAGTCCTTCTGCAGGTACTTCACCAAGTTCTCAATCGGTAAGGGTTTGGAATAGTTCATCACGTGGGGGACGATCGGTCTTTTATCCAAGTCGTTGTGGTAGAACGCACAGAAGGGCTCGCGCGTGCACTCCGCCCGGTCCTCGCCCGGCCCAATGTCCTGACACGTGGAGACCTTGAAGTTCAGGGGGTGGTACGCCCGCTCCTTCGAGCCGTGGGAAAAAGGGCACTGCGCGCCGAACTTACACCGGTCGTTGTAGCTGGATTTCGCCGTGTCGCGGGGATCCCAAAACGGGCAGGGCACGGGGCCGTAGCCGACCTGCGGGTTCCGCCGGTAGTCCTGGTAGTTGTGCGCGTACACACAGTAGGTCCAGTTGTGCTGGTAGAGGTGGGGGCACCATTTGGTCTTGTACTTCAGAATTAAGAATTCATCCGTAATCTCCTGGACATTCTCCTCACTCGGGCGGAAAAGGAGGTTCCCAAGCTCCTGGCGCCGGTGCGCGAACCGGCACCGGGTGCCGTAGGGGCAGTTGGAGGGGTTCGGGTACGAACCACAGAGCTTGCCGCCTGATAAAGTTAAAGAGTAAGAGTTTGATTTGTGATATAATTTCATTGGCATTTATTGTTGTTCCATAGAGAAGCACAGGATTTTTAATGCACATTTGTGATTGTGTTTTAGAATTAAAGACCACGTAGACACATGCTAGACATTTGTGAACCACAAGATGAACGTCAACTTCGATGAAGATAATTCAACCAGTAAATAAAAAGATCATACCCCTCGGCTTGACGTAATTCTCATTCCCCGGGATGCAGGTCAATGGCTGGAAGTCATCTGGGTGCGCCTCCGTGACAAACGAGTAGTGCACGGCGAATTCCCGCCGGTCCCGGTCCCCCTCGTGGACGAAGCAGCAGTTGTCGTCGAAGCACTTGAAGCTGTCGCAGCACCGCGTCTTGAACTTCGCCGGGTGGACCAACAATTCCGTTTTCGAGTGCGCAAAGGGGCAGTCCATCATCAACGGACAGTTGTCGCCGAATCGACACAGCATGTCGAAGTACGCCAGCGTCTCCCCGTTATCAAATGCAAAAGTGTCTGGGTCTGGAAGGATGCGAACTTGTGATGCGTGTTGCGGATCATACAAAAATCTGTGTTGCATGACTTGCAAAAGGTCCCCATTTCTCGCCATGCTGAGATGGCATTTCTCATGCATAATGGGCATCACCAAGGGGCTGCAAAACCTGTGATGCTAGGCCCTGCATTCCAGACTTGGTGGAGCTTGGAAAAACTCCATGACAAATCGCGCATTCTTCCAGACCCAGACATTTTTGCATTTGATACCCATCCTCCTGCAGCAACGGGCGGCGGAAGTGCTGGGAGTTGTGGTACTTGAGACACCCCTTGCCCCGTTTCTGCAAGCACTGCCTCAGCGGCAAGTCACACGGCTCGGTCCGGAAATCGCGGAGCATCTGGATGTGCTATGAGAGTGCACAACCCCCCCTCGTTCTCATTTCTCATGCAAAATACCAAATCCACGCTTTGTCCTTGTCACTATTATGCATGACAACTTCTGGTAGTGCCCAAATCGCGCTACACAACTCCAGTGCAGATTTGTCATGCAAAACCGGCATTATTGCGGATGCTTGTATTGCCGTTCATGCTATACAATAGAGGGGGAGGGGGAGTTGTGCACTGTCATATGTGCTCCGGGGTCTCCAGTTCGAATTTCAGCTTGGGAAGGCGCATCTTGATGCGGTTCAGTTCCTCCCGGACCTCATCCGCGGAAATGGTGGAGATGTTTTGGTCGCCGGAGCCGTCCCCGACCAGGTCTTCGTCCCGAACTTGCGCCACACCGTTGATCAACGGGATGTTGCGCATACCTGAAGAGTGATGTCGTGTAGCACGTTGCTGAAGATTTAGATTTCCTTTCAGTTCGGTTCCAAATAAAGATCTACTAACTTTTCCGGTGTCTGTAAATGTCTTGTTCCGCGGGTCTTGGGGATATAGGATTTAGGAAAAATGTAGTGTGAAGATTTTCATGCTCCAAGGTATCACCTTGTCGTTGTTGGCAAAATGAAACAGCACGTAATTCAAGAAGCGGATTATAGCACCTCAAAAATTTCAATACCTGGTTCCGGAATTTCTTCGCACACCAAGAATTCCTCCTCCTCCTCCTCTTCCGCCTTCTTCCCCTGCTCTGCCTTCGGCGCGGGTGTAACGGGCGTGATGTCACCAGCACCCGCAACATCCCCATGAGCGACCGTCGTCGGGGTCAGATCAGAAGTGTCGGCTTGCAGCTTCATGGCTGCCGGGGTGGAGCCGGCGGCGGTCGCGGAGGACATGGAATCCTCGGCTCCGGAGTTCGTGGACGAGCTCTGCTGCTCGCGAGACAGCAAAATGTCGTTGCCAACCGTGCTGGGGGTACCAGTGGTGGGCTCCGAACTGCGCTGAGAAAGCTTGTTTTCCTGGGCGATAGATTTAGAGACGTAGAGAGCGCTAGATTGATCTACTGGTAGTTCTTGCTCGGTGTTGTTGTTCCTTGTACTATCAGCGGCCTCAACAGAAGTTGTCATGGCCGGAAGTAGGGGGCAGAATCCGAGCGGTAGGAAGACCACGAGAAGATGTTACAAGTACAACAGAGCGTGCGCGTGCGAGCCGAGAAAAAGTGATATTATAACTCTTTCTTGTGCTGCTTGTTCTTTCCATTGAACGAGTAGCTGCACTCTTGCTTTTCAACTAACAAGAAAATTTCGTATGAATCTTAAAGGCACAGGTCGCTGTAAATATCAAACAGTGAATATTTTCTCTTGACCGAGCGGTGGTCTTGCTCTTGGCGATTCGTAGTTTATCAAATGTAAAAATGTCTGGGTCTGGAAGGTTGGAACTTGTGATGCTAGTTCTGGACTCTAAAAAAATCTGTATTGCATGACCAGCAATAGGAGCCCGGTTTGTGCTACGCGGGGAGGGCATTTGTCATGGGGAATAGGCATCAGGAAGGCCTCTGAAAATATGTGATGCCAGATCGTGCATTACAGACATCCTGAGTCATGTAAAATATGCATGACAAACCTGGTAACCTTCCAGACCCAGACATTTTTACATTTGATATAGTTTAAGAAAATACAAAACTCAGAATATGAAATTCTGCCGGTGCTAGTGGTTTTGAGAATATCAATATTACAGTAAGAATTATGGATAATACAAACTCTTTTCTACTTGTAAAATCCAAAAGTTTCTGCTTCAATTATCGAACGAAAAGCTCGTAAAAGTAGCGCGGTTTTCTCTTAGTAATACTGTAATTTCAAATAGCACGATTGGTAGTTATTCTGTGATTTTGTATTTGAGAAAATAAGCTTTTTGGTGTTGAAAAAGATTGGTTTGAGAACTCTTCGATTTGGGTTCTAGTTGATGTTCTTAGCGATAAAAAGCAAGCTTGTGAATAAGTAACGCGACTGTTTGTGCCTATTAGCTTGATTTATGTCTTTCGTTTTTTCAAGTTCTACTTGTACTTTCACGCCTCAAATTCTTTTGAGACTTTTGACCAGCGAAAATTCTGTCAGCCTCGAAAACAAGCTCTATCGGAGTAAGTTAGAACTGCTTCGAAACTTTCAAAAAGCCGCTTTTTATTGGTCACTGTAAGGAGTTTTATTGGTAATTTTTGTGTTGTTGTGTACTCAAAAGAAATTTATGCTCCTTCCCAAGAACTGCGATGTTTATTTCAAAACACGCCGCTGCTCGCAGATCTTGTGAGATTTTTTTCGAATGTAGATTTGTTGTATTTTTTCGGATTTTATAGTGCGATCCTTTTGTCCTGAATTTATTCTTGGAATTTAAATTTTTGGATCCTACCAACCGTGATGTCAATTGTGTTTGCTCAGACAAAATTTATTTCTTGTCGCAATCTATGATTTTTTGGTGTGTACGATTTATTCAAAAAAGATTTACATCAAAATTGTCTTCCAGCTCTAAGAACTTCAACAAACTACAGAGCTACGGGGTGCGCGTGAACTGAGTTTGTGAAGCTGCAAAAGAGTTGTACACACCTTTATGATAATGGAGTTTTGATAGTATTGTTACAACAAGTGAAGCGCAGTAAAAGATTTTTTGAAAATGCAAATTGAGGCACAAAACTGTTGGGTATAGATAGGAGGTAAAAGATTGATTTTTAAAGAACAGGATGGAGGTACAACTTACGTAGAGATTTCAAGCTAAAGACAGTTCGGGGTTTGACGTCGGGCGGGTCTCAGCTCACTGATTTATACCTGCGGGAGGGAATGCCGATATAAATGAAATCAGTACAACTTCTGAACACGCTTCCGGAGGTGGCGGATTGCGTATATTACGAATGCGAACTCCTATCTAAAATGATCTGAATAATACTGCTTCTCCTTTTGCTATCCTGCTAGCAATTCAACCGCGATTACTTATCTAACGAGGCGCAGGCGCTTCTTGGTCGAGCTTTTATTTAGCGTTTGAAGATTTTATTCGGTCGCAAGGGGCGCGGGCGCGGCGGGCTGCACGGGCGATAATTTTCTTGGGATCAAAATAACTACCGTCCATGAGCTCCAGGGTCAAGAAACACCCAGCAAGTTATCGCGAGCAGGGCAGCATTGTGCTTGTGCAGTAAGGAGAGGCATCTCACTTACTCCTGTGGGCGCGCGTTTTTTTTGTTGCAACAGAGAAAGTTAAAGTAGTGTCAGTGGACTAATATAGATCCCTTTGGCGGCCAAGTCTGCACGATTGCGATCCCGATCGCGTTGTTCTGTACGAAAGTTCTTCTATTTCCTTTTCTCTAGTACGAAATTATTGTAGTAGAACGAAAACCGAAATAAGGCTGATGCTGCGAAAGACAAAAGTTTCGCTTCCTTCTTGTACGAACCGACGTCATTTTGCAAAATTTTTGGCACAATGCCATCCTTCATCTCGTTGTTGGTTGTACTAGTTGTAGGCACATGAAAAAACCGCACGAAAAACCGAAAATCAAATGTCGCAGCAGCGATTCAGAAATAAACGGAAACCGAATGCAGTTGCTTTTGCGCTTTTTTCTATTCAAGGCCAGAAGATGTACAACTACCGAATTAGGTGCGACAAAATGTCATATTGTTCTTGATACATGAGACCAATGCCAATCAAAATGAACATCATCAACTTGTTCGGACAAGTGATCAAAAAATGGCTCAGTACCACCTCGTGCTAGTTTGCAGTGGTCGCACTGAAATCGATTGAGGTCCGACGCAAACTTGTGGTGCGAAAGCCTACTTCTATTCTATGTGTGTCGCTTCGAAAGTACTTAAATCATTTATCGTCCAGCATGACGCTCGCGCAGGCTAGGGCTCTCCTTTTATCAAAAAAACACACATTCCAGCAGTATAAACACCAAATTTCCCAGTATCAATGGGTACTTCATGAACGTCCGCATTGCGTGCAGGAATGTTGCCACTTGATTCTGCAAACTTGTCGCGTTCCCCCCCACCATTGCTTGATCCAGCCCGAATTGCCGGAGAAACCGCTTCTCGTTTAGTATCGCCATGGCGTTCGCAAACAGCAGCGCCGCTTCCACGAGATGCGCGAGGGAAAAACCCATCTTTAGTTTTGGGTCGTTGTTGGTGAAACTCCTTGTAGAAAGCGCGTTCTTTCCGTCTTACAGATAGGAAAAACTTATAGGCTTTTTACAACTGCAGATCGAGATGGTTGTTGAAGTACGTAGAGGGTCGTCGTGCGTGGTAAACGCAATTATAAACTCAAACTTCCTTGAAAACGAGATCTTCACAGTAGAGCACTACTGGTGCAGCTCCTCCTCGTGTAAAAAATGATCTAGCATGTCGTCTATGTTGTGTGTCGCTGTGTTTGTGTGGTACTGACTTGGCAGCATCAGTTGAGATGTTGAAATGGAACACAGATCTATCTCGGATCGGCAAATCATATTTGCTAGCGCAGCAGGAAGCGCTGCAAGAACGGGATGCGTTGTAGTAGTAACACCCTTATTTGCTGCGATGAAGATCCTTGTGGTTGTACTACATGTTTCATAATTCTCGTTCCCAGCAATGTTAGAGTTGGTCAGCCTGAGGCTATAATCAGGACAACTTCCTTGAGTTGTAGCGTAAAGGTCCGACGTCGTGTAGCCCTCGCAGGTATAAGGATAGGATTTTTTCTTCTTTCTTCTGCTCCAAGTCCAATTTTATTTTTTTTAATAGCAACATACTACAGACTTCGAAATCTTATACAATCTGATATCAATCCTCCTCTTCTATGCTGTCGAAGGCTTTGCTAAACAAGTCGTCGATCTTCTTCGTGATTCTTTGCGAGGTTTCTACCAGATGCGTATTGGAATTCACAACCGCGTACTTCTGCTTAAACAAAGCCTTGAAATTTTCCTCCTCCTCCCGGAACTTGTCACTGTTGATCCTCTATGCCTCGCAAAAGCGTGATCGCACGCAGTAGGTAAAAACCGCAATACAACTTTACTGAAAGGGAAAAATCGACTTCTGTCTCTTTGTAATGCAGATTCAGGCATAGAAAAAAGGTACTGTCATGCGAGACTGCATATCAAAATTTGTTTGTTCCAGTGCGATACACCTTTTGCAGCAAATGGATATCCTTTCCTCCATTTGCAGCTTCTCTTCGTGCTTCTTCTTTATCTTCAACCGTTCTCTCTCGTCTTTAGTCAAAGCTCCTAGCTTACCGTCCGGACTGCTGGTCGTGCTGGAAATAGTAGAGTTGCGACGCGACTGCTTCAACCCACTAGCCTGGAGCTCTTCATCCAACAGTTTCGCACTTCGCAACTGTTCGGGGGAAAGCTTTTTCGGCGAGTGCGGTTGGAATTTGTTTGCAGTTGGGCTTTGCGGGGGATCAAGGAGGTCATTTTTACTAGCCCGAAGAATATCGCCCAGCGTAGTTTCCGCTTCGTCAGACCAATCCTGCCCTTCAGCTCCGTCGACGTTATACCCGCCCTCTTCTTCTGCCTCATTCATCTCCTGCCTCGATCTATCGTACGAAAACAGTGCTTCACTGTAAGGATTTTGCACGTTTTGCATCACAAGTTTGTTCTGCATGACAGAGAAAATTTGCCATGCAAGGCTCGTAAGGGAACGCACAGCGAAAAATCTACTGTCTTGCATGAGTAGCATGACAAACACTTTTGAGATACATATTCTGCATTACAAGTTTACAGTGAAACAGTTTTTTCTGGCGATACGATCTGTGATGCGGGTCGTAGATCGCAGCGAGGATGTCGTCGTCCTCATCCTCGTCGTGGTCGTCACCACCTAACAGCTTCAATATGAAAGTGCACAACTCCCCGTCCACCTCGCTCTGTATTGCATGGACAGCAACACAAGCGTCAGCAAGAATACAGGTTTTGCATGACAAATCTGGACAGGAGTGTAGTGCTATTTGGGCACCAGCTGCCAGAAGAACTTGTCATGCATGATAGTGACAGGAGGCAAAGCGTAGATTGGGTATTTTGCACGAGAAATGAGAACGAGGAGGAGCTGTTGTGTACCCTCATATTGAAGATCCCGCCGACGGAAGACCCGTCCGTTTTGGAAAACTGAGTTCCGATCGATTGGTCCAATTTGTCTTGCATAGTAGCAGCAGACTTCGTTGTCCCCGGCCGAGAGGAATTTCTTGACTTTCGCTCCTCATATCGCATGAAAAAACTGTTTCACTGTGATAATTTTGCAAGGTCTGCATCACAAGTTTGTCTTTGTTTACACAAGAAGAGATGAATTTGCCATGCGTGCTTCCAACCAAGAACGGAAAACATGCTATAGAGCTCCGGTGTAGTCCTCTTGCAGGTGTAGCAAGACGACTAAGTAGCTCTGTGCTCCATTCATTCTATGCATCACAAGTTCACCGTGAAACAATCTTTTCTCGCGATACCTCATTTTCAAACGCTAATGCTGTCCCCACCGTCATCCCCGAGCTCTGCTGACTTTGCTATCCTGTGCAAAAGTATCGCACTCGTAGTGATTGCAGTCATGCATTACAAATCTTTCTCTTGAAGGTAAATCCGCATTGCAAATTTCATTTCTCATGCTTAGGAAATAATTTGTAATGCATTTATACGACGAGTAGGATACTTTTGCACCTGATATTTGCTCGAACGGGTTAAAATTGGAACTCGTCATGGTGTTTGGCGAAGGCTTATTCTGTGCAAAAGTATCGTACTCGTACTAATCGCATTCATGCATTACAAGTTTCTTTCTCAGGTTAAATCCGCATTACAAATGTTCTTTCTCATGCTGAGGAAATTTTTCATGCGATTTATACTAGTACGATGCTTTTGCATTTCATAAGGCTGCGGAGAATTGGAAGACGAGGGATTGCGGCCCAGTAGAATTGCTTGTTCATTACTGTTATTGGAAGAAGATTTTGACCCAGCGCCTTCCGTATGAACTGCAAAAATGTCTGGATGTCTGGAAACTTGTGATGCTGAGTGGCGTAGCATGAGGGGGCCACAAGTGCTGGCTCTGCATGACAAATTTCTGAGCTTGTAGGTGTTGCCTATTCTGCATGACAAACTGCGTCTCCGCATGACAGAAAAATGCGGCTCTTGGGTAACGTGTATGACAGATTTAAGAGTCATGCCAGACAAGCATGACAAACATGCATTCTTCCAGACCCAGACATTTCTACATTTGATATTCCGCGGTCGTCGTACTCGAAGTGTTCGCATCCGTCGGGCTTATCGTGAGAAAAAAGAAAAACTCGTGTCTCAGTCTCAACTTGTATTATAAATGCGGAACGTCCTTGTTGAGACAGTCTTTTGTCATGCTCGAGGACATCATGCAGGAAAAGGCCGGCGCTTCATGCCTGTTCATTTCTCTCGCAGCATCATGTGACGCATCACAAATTTTTTTGCGTGTCATCGTAAAAGTGCAGCGATTGCAAGGGTTTGAGAAGCAAAGACAGTTTTTTCCTTCCTGCGATAGCGCTTATGCAGGAAAAAAACTGTGTAAGTGTAACTTTCTTGGAGGAACAGCATCACAAGTCTGCCCTGCATGACAGAGAAAACCTGTCATGCGTAGCTAGTACGTGAAAACACGTACGAAAAGTGCCTCTGTTGCATGTCCAGCATGACAGTTGTGACTGTCTTGCATCGTCTGCAACACAAAGTTACACTTACACAGTTTTTTTCTTGGATAGCGCTCGATCCCTCGTTACTCGGGGAGACAATCGCGACCGCCGCCCCGGTATCAAATGCAAAAATGTCTGGGTCTGGAA